TTAAGTCGTGAGGAGCGGTCAGGAATAAAGTATTTCAGAAAAACAACTTTTTCACTTTTGTTGTCGACGTTTCGACCTTTATCCAGGTCATCTTCAGAGTATGAAATACTTAATTCCAAATTTATATTTACTTCTGTATTGTATTTTTTCTAATTAACGTATGTTTTGTAATTCACTCAGGCCCTGAAGATGACCTGAATAAAAGTCGAAACATCCTCACGGCTTCAACAAATTATTGAACGACCGGTCGCTAAAAAACACCCACATTAAAATTTAACTATCAATTTATCCTACCTCTAAATGATTTTTCAGTGTTTTGTTGAATTTTCTTTCAAATCATATTAATAAAATANGAGCAGTTTTTATTACATAATTTATATAATATTATATATGTTTATATTATATCGAATTGTATTTAAGATACGATCCGGTGATGTAACTAAACATTAAAGATAAAACGTATCTGGCTCGCTTTTTCACACGGAGGACCTTTTAAATCTCCAGGAAAACGTTTTGTAATTATATAAAAAGTTCAATTATTCTTTTTATGTAAGGTCTTGGTTGAGATGAAAATGCTACTGTCACGAACGGGATTCGAACCCACGATTTTCGGCTTTTTACGGCCTTTTTCACCTGAACTAAGACCATAAAAAGAATAATTAATATGGTCGATTAGACCCCTAAACATAAATATATTATATAAAAAGATTTTTCCCGGGGCCGTATAAGTTAAACGAGGTCTTGGGTTTCATAAGAGATAAATCCGGGGCGTTTTAATTGATTTCGTCCTATCAAGGTTCAAGAGTAAATATCGGAATCCGCCTGTGTCAATCCTCGGAGATAAAGCTTGTTTGTCATGCATAATGCAGGAAGGCGTAGGGCGCGGCCGAGTTAACGGTCTTCAGCAGGAGCGGGCGAGGCGAACTTCTGCAGGACATCGGAAAAGCGGCTGGCGGGTTTTTCCTACCCCAGGGGGCTGTCGAGTGCCGGGTTTTCCTCCGTAAAAATGTGAAACGCTGCAACGAACGGCAGACGGAACGGTTTTGCGGGCCGGCGTGGAGGGGGCCCTCGGCCGGCTCCGCCCAGCGCCGTTAACCGCCGGGCCCCCACCGGGCTTCCACTCTCTCTTCGTTCGCCGACTCGGACGGATCGGCCGCGTTTCCGCCCGCCGCCCCGGACACCCGACGACCGACCGGCCCCACGACGGCCGCCGCCAGGCTCAAGGAACTATTGGTGTGCATATATCATTTTTATTATTATATCACAGCAATAAGTCCTGTAGCCTGGGGCGGGGCAGCACGTGCCGTTCAGCAACAAGTGGCCAGCCGCTCTACCGCCTTTCAGCAGGTATCTAGGCCGGACCCTCCGCCCGCATTCTCCTCCAGAATCTTCTCGTCCCCGTATTCACATCAAATAATTTTCTTTTTCAATTTTTGTACTAGTTTTAAAGAGGTTTTGTGCCGAACTGGGTCGGAAGAGCCCCCGTGTAGGTTATGTCGCCATGCCTTCGGACCACACGCGCGGCTGTCCTTGGGAGCTAAAGGAACTATTAATGTGCATATATTACGTTTAAAATTATATCACAGTAATAGTCCTGTAGGTCTTGGACAGAAAATCTTTACTGGTGCGTGTCAAGGTTGAGAAAAGGAAAACTTCATGAAAAATCATGTCTGATCAGAAAATTTTGTAACCTTTTAACAGAAATAAAATTTATTTTAGAACAACTTTAAGAATTGGAACTAAATGTAAATTTATTTAAACATCAGACCTATTGGGACCGTTATGTTTTGGCGGGTCCCCGAAATGGGGGTCGCTCGTAACGTGTTTTCCCTCCTCGGCGGTTTCCGGAGCCGATCTGGAGTCCGTTCACCCCGTCTCGAGGGAAAAGAGCCGCCGTCCACCAGTAATTAAAAGAGGATCCCGTTAATTTTCTTCCATTTATGGGCGCGTTGCGGCATTGGACTTCGGACGGCGCCCCCGAGGGGAAAACGACGGCGCGTTTAAAAATAAAACCCGCACAAGCCGCTTGCGTGGCAATGGAGATGTGATGATGGCGGGACGAGGTGGGGGTGCTTTTTACCGAGAATCGACTCATTCTTTGAGTTTAAAATTAAAAATTGGCTGTTATTTTGCAATAAAAACACGTAACAAGATGAAAAAATTGATTTTTCTCTCAAGAAAGTGTGGAATTGGTTCATTATTATTTTTTTTACGTTCCCTCAATTTTGCACATTTTGTTACATTAATTTTTACTTAATTTAAAAATCAAAATTATGCCTAAATATCCTTTAATTCTTACACGATATTGTATATTTTTCTTAATGTATTATAAGAATTAAATGTATTTAATTAAAAATTGGCCATTATTTTGCAATAAAAACTAGCTAAAATGATGTTTTTGTCCCTAGAGAGGGTATAAATACGTTTTTTTTACATTCAATGTGCTGTATTAATTTTTAAAAAATTATACCTTAATATCCTTTAATTCTTACACAATATTGCATATTTTTCTTAACGTATTATAAGAATTGAATGTATTTATCAAAAAAATTAAAAATTGGCCATTATTTTGCAATAAAAACTCGTAACTCGCTAAAATAATTAAGTTTTTTTCTCTTGAAAGGGTATAAATATGTTTATTATTATGCATTCAATGTGTTATAATAATTTTTACCAATATTTAAAAAATTATGCCTAAATATCCTTCAAGTTGTACAAAATATTGTATATTTTTCTTAATGTATTATAAGAATTAAACGTATTGATTAAAAAAAGTGTAAAGTAAAAAATTGGCCTTTTTTGCAACAGAAAGGCTAGGTAAAAAGATAGATTTTTTTCTCTGGAAAGGGTTTAAGTTCATTATTTTTTGTTTTATTTTTACATTCATACAAAAAATTATGCCTAAATATCCTTTAACTGATACACAATTTGTATGTTGCTTAGTATTGTAAGAATTAAATGTATTTATGAAACAAAGTTTAAAGTTAAAAATTGGCCATAATTTTGCAAAAAAAAAGCGTAACTTGCTAAAAGACTTGATTTTTTCTATTTACTAACACAAATAAAATTATGCCAAAATATCCTTTAACTCTTACACAATATTGTATATTTTGATTAACGTATTGTAAGAATTAAGTGTATCTGTTTAAAAATGGCCTAATTAATTAATTTTTTTAAATAAAAAATGTCCTAATAAATTATATTTTTCTTTTTTTTAATTATTGCAGATTCCATTCATTTTTTGTCAAGTTGGTCTATTACAGTAAAATGTTACACGTTGAAAATAAATTGTATTAGACTATTTAATTATTATTTCATTTTTGAAGTGAGGGTTTGATGTATGAGAAAAGCATTGATAAAAATTTGTTGTTTTAAGTCTTGTATATGTTTTATTTATTGGATTGTACTGATATTTAAAAATACATGATAAAATTGGATAAATTTGATTGTGATTATTTATTCCTATTTTTTGTTAAGCTGGTGTGGTGTAGAGACTAAATCAATGTTAAATTGTTTTATGGTAAAACTTGTCAAAAACCCTCAGGGTAAAACAAGAAGTCAAAACTTTTCAAGATTGCAATTTTAAAGCTTGAACTTTGATATATAAGTGAGATGGGAAGTTAGCATCCGAGTGGATCGAAATCACGATAGCTCAAGTGGTAGAGCAGTGGAGTATTTAGCTGAAGGTCGTGGGTTTGAATCCTGCTTGTGACACTGACTTTTTTATCTCGACCAATACGTTAAATAAAGATTAATTAATTTGATATATAAGGTTAAATTTTTCTACTAACTTTTTGTCAATTTTGCCCAGATTTCATCAAATTTAATTCCATATACACATTTAATAGTCATAATTGATCATATTAATTATTTTAGTTAATTATAATTTTTTCCTAAGGTTTTGGTTGAGATGAAAAAGCTAGTGGGATTTGAACCTCTGACCTTCGGCTCAACATGCTGCTGATCTAACCACTGAAGTGACTTCTGGGACAACATATATAACATAAATTGTTATATTGAAATAAACTCATGTTTTAAGAAAAAAGCAAATAAAATTATCTTTTTTTAATGGTCTTATGTATTGTTTTATCGTTAGCCAAGAAAACAGTTATGAGAGAAAAGAAGCTACAAGAGTCAGAAAATTCTCAGGGTGGGATGTGAACACAGGGTCGTTATGTATTAAATGAGACTCTTCCTGACAGATTCTGGCCACCACAATGTATGGCAGTCAGAATGTTATCTTAGAATTCTCACTTTTCTTCTGACATCCAGGTCTGCCTGAATTTGGCAAAATATCCGAATTAATAAGGAAGACCAGGATGATCGGAAACAACCGAATTATGTCTATCTAGTATTTATATGCAAGTCTGAACATGAATAATCCATTTTGAGACTTGGGATGGAATAACTCGAGAAGGATTTAACCAGAGATTTGCTTTCATAACATCTAAATATTTATGTTCTGGGTTTTACCTTTCTTTCATTCATTATGTTAATTACAGAAAATGACTTAAAATATTGTTTTATTAAAAAAAAAATTTTTGTACCAAAAATATTAGTGGGTACGTCTATAATATTAAGACAAATAAATTTTTGTAGACTACTCTTTTTCTGCTGCTTAATAATTAATTCTCAATAATAATAATTTTTTCTTTAAGTCATTAATTAAAACGTTTTTATTTTATTTTAAAAACTTAGAAATTAATGGTTGATAACTTCATTAAACCAAATAAAAATAAATAAAACAAGAACACAACATGCAAGATTTGTCAGTTATGTTCTAAATGATGGTATAAGTTCAAAAGCTTAAATAACAAGGTGGAAAAAGGTATAACTAACAAAAAGTTGTATTATTCATAAAATAATATTTTGAAAGTAGTACACTTCCAAGTCATAGTTTCTGTACAGTCTTTCTCTTTAATTTGACTTCTGTATATTCTCTAAAAATCGTAGAATCAGTCTGTCGTTTTAAATGGGGGGGAAGGGCTTTTTAAACATACCTTATTTGTTAAACATTTTGCGAACTCTACTTTCATATCGGTGACCGACACCTTATCCTGAGGCCGTTTGGGTCCAGAAATGCAAGTGACAACAGTGGAGAGGTCCAGCTCAATAACCTGGCTGAACACAGGGTCTTCTCCTGAATCCTTAAAATCCCTGAGAAGACCGACTGCCTTCAGGTACTGCTCGACGGCCTGGACTTTTACAGCGTCACGATCTATTTTATGTACAAAATGTTAGCGTGGTAAACGTGAGATTTGTAATTGTTTACGGCTCACTTGTCTGTCTGAGGTATTGAAGGCTGTTAACATCGACAGGGAAGAAACCGACTGTGGCACCGTACTCAGGGCACATGTTGGAGATAGTGGCACGATCGGCGATTGAAAGGTTGGCAACACCTGGTCCAAAAAACTCAACAAACTTACCTACCACACCCAACTGACGCAAATTCTAAAACAGTTCAAAGTGTAGAGAAAATTAGTATTTATGTTTCATAAACAAAAGGTCATTCTTTAATTATTGTTAAAGAAACATCCAAACAAATGATAAAAATTTATATGTAAACAAAAGTACAAATCAAGTATACATTTTTATTACCTTGGTTATAGTCAATACAAGGTCAGTGGAAGTGGCATATTGACTAAGTTCTCCAACAAGCTTGTAACCGACAACTTGGGGTATGAGCATAGAAATTGCTTGACCGAGCATGACAGCTTCAGCTTCAATGCCACCCACGCCCCAGCCAACTACTCCAAGTCCGTTAATCATAGTCGTGTGAGAATCAGTACCGACTACACTATCAGGGTACAGAGTTGACCCATCGGTGAAAACGACCCTGGCCAGGTATTCCAGGTTGACTTGGTGTACAATACCAGACCCAGGTGGGACAATAAGCATATTTCGGAAGGCTTTTGCTCCCCACTAAATAAAAAACAAAAACTGAAGATTCAACAAAATGACAATTATATCTGTGAATACCTTTAGAAATGTGAAACGTTCTTTGTTTCGTTCAAACTCAAGCTCCTCATTTTTCTGGAGAGCATCGTTTCTAAAACATAAGTTCATACAAATTTAATTTTCTATAGTAACTTTCGAAAATAATAAGCTTTTTTAAATGTACAATATAATGCTTCGTACGTTCTTGAAAAGTCAACTTGGACTGAATGGTCGATGACAAGATCAGAGGGACAAATTGGGTTGATCTTGTCGGGATCACCTCCGAGCGATTTCACGGCGTCCCTCATTGCTGCAAAGTCCACAACAGCAGGCACACCAGTGAAATCCTTAAAACAATCAAAGCTATCAATCTCCAATCTTCGGCATCAAATTGAGCATTTATACCTGCAAGATGACTCTGGCAGGCTTGAAAGGGACTTCGACACCCCCTTCGACTTTTTGATTCACCTCCCAGTTGAGGATGTTTTCAACATCTTTCTCCTTGACTTGGAAATTGTCACAGTTCCTGACTGCTGATTCCAGCAGAACACGAACGGAATACGGCAATTTACCTAATAAAAAACAATAATAATAAATATTAATATCAAAATTAAAAGTGACATTTCGAATTGGTAGCTTTACCATATTTTGGCCCAAGTCCTTGAAGATCATAATAATTGTACGTAACTCCTCCAACACTGAGAGACTTCAACAGTTTGTCATAGGGGTTTGAACCTGAAAATTAAATTATAACAAGTTAAAAGCAGATGATGGGGTTTGGTCTGCGAGTTGGTGAACTCATGTTGAACCGGCACACAGGCACTACAGGGTCTGTCTTCACTCGCAGGTTTTTTGTTTGAGTTATTCAAACGTGTTTAGGCATTGCACCATCTTCAGTGAAAAACTCTTTCTCTTGAAAAAAAAGTTTTTCACTGAAGATGGTGCAATGCCAAAACGCATTTGAATAACTCAAACAAAAACCCCTGAGTGAAGACAGACCCAGTAGTGCCCGTGTGCCGGTTCAACATAAGTTAAAAGCAGTTCACAACTTAAATTTTTCAAATGTGAAATTTTCTTTTTTATAAGACATCATTTAAGAATATTAAAACAAACAAAAATATGATTTTGCAACTTTTTGGAGATCCTGTGTTATTTTCAAGTCATATATTTTATTTACATATTATTACATATTTATTCAACGTGTCTCCAAAACGTAAGGTCTACAAAAAAGAAATTTTCATATATAAAATTAAAAAAGAAGGACAATAATAGTGAACAAAAGTTTTTCAACATTTATTAAAGAAAACTTGCTAAAAAAGTCATATTAAAATAATAGATTTTAGAAGTACATATTTTTTTGTATTTATTGGGAATGAACACAATTATTTTAAATAAAGAATCAACAAATAAAATGCTTGATTTATATAACATCATCTTCATCTCAAGGATGTTTGATGGCCAACAGGAATTATGCAACTTGTGTACTTATTTCTAAGTAAAACATTCTTTTATCTGGTTTAAAGTTGTAATGGTACATTTCTAAACATCCTTACTGCAACATAATGTACTTTATTAACATTTTACTGATCAACTTGGATTGTTTATTGTATAAGTAAATAGGATACATACTACCAAACAAATTCTACAGAAATCAATAATTCTTGGAGAACTTATTTATGTAATATATGCGCTAATATTAATACTTAGAAGGTCAAATTTAATAATGTATGTATTCACAACTTTATGTTAATTTAAAAAAAAAGAAATGCGTAAAAGGAGACAAAGGTTTTAGCAGGTCTGAAATTGACAATATTTCTCTTTCCCAAATTAACAAATACTTAAAAAAATATTTTCCCTTATTTCAATTACTCCAAATTACTCAAGTATCCTGTGTATTAACAAATAATTTAGCACTTAAGCAACTGAAACTGTCTAGGGAAATAAATTAACAAAAAACATCATGTTTGTGACAAAATTATATAAAAGTTAGCTTATTAGGTAACAAGAATTTCTGATCTGCTTGTTGCGACACATATTTTGTGAAATATTTTAATTCAATTAGGCCAAGAGAAAACATTTGTAAGGATCAAAAACAAATCTTATTTTTCTTAAAGATCAAAACTTAGGAGGATGAAAAAAATGTTTTAAGTTAATTTTTTATGACATTAAGATTATCAGTTATTTGTAAGGCAATTATAAATATATATTATTATTATTTCGGCATCCTCAAAACTTCCTGAAAAAAGAAAGAAATCTTGCACGCACAACTCTCATTCAAACGCTAGCAGACAAACATTCAATGGTATAACAATTTGGGAAAAGGCCCAAATCTCATTATAAATTTCAATAAATTTGAGAAAGGTGAAAAGTGCTCTTTGGAATAAACACTGGGAACCCAGTAATTCCTTTAAATCACTCGAAAGATTGATACTTTGCCTAGGGTTGCAAAGTGCAACAGTCGACCAAAATATGTTTTACGGTCAGAATGATATGTTCTCTACTTCGCCTACATTGAGGACAAGTTGGAAGGTTGTTGCTTCTCTTATTATTATTATATTATGATTATATAAATCATATTTCTCTTAAACATCTCAGAACTGAGGAGGATGGAAAAAATATTTTAAGATAATTTTTTTATGGCAATAAGATTATCAAGAATGTAGTTATTTATAATACAATTATCAAAATAATTTTAATTGTAAAATTTTTTTAAAAATAAATTTGTGATAAAGAATGTAATAGCTTTGTTGCTCTGATTTGCAAATTGTGTGTAGAGAGAAAAAGAAAATGACTAGCTGTGTTTTCACAATTGTTGCAACAATTCAGATAAAGTCCTTTTTGAAAATTTACATTCTCTGATTTCTGTGGTAGTTATTAGCTGCTTTCTAGCCAGTTCTACAGTTATTAGCCCACTTTCTCTAATAGTTTATAGTTCCAACCAGAACAGAAATATCTTTATTTTATAAAAAGTTACTAAAATAATATACATTAATCAATTTTGTGAAAAGCACTTGACATTGAGCATCAGCAGAAATATTATAATATTTATACTTTATTTTAGACTGTACTAACTTCCATATAAAATATAATGGATAAAGACATTAGATAAATCTTTTATAAAATAAGATTATACAGATATCTACAGATAAAAAGAACTTGTATAAAAGTTGAGGACTGTTGTACTATCACAATACTCACCTATTGTCTTTGTAAAATTAAATTTTGTATGGTTTCCACATGGGAACTTTGTTTCAATGTAGGTGTCATGACGTTCGAATTTGAAGCATAGTTTCAAGAATGAAGAATAAATGTCTTTAAAATTTAGTCATGGCCAAAATTTGTTGAGCTTCAGTAAAAGCCAAAGTCAATCAAACAAGTTTTAATAAGATCAACATTTTAATAACTGGTCTTAACGTCTTTCGATGATTTAAATATTTTATCATAACACAAAGACACCAACTGTCTTAATCATTCAAGATAAAAATGAATTAGATTCTTTAAAAATTCAGATGAACAGAACAATACACTCAAGAAAACAAATTGTTTTATTCATAAATTCAATTGCAATCCACAAAAAAAAAATTAAGAATCCTAGATATGGCCAAATTTTTGAAGGGGAAAAATGATATCGTCGTAACATTTTAAACCTATTGAATGCAGAAAGTAATAATTATACTTCCCAAATAAAAAAAGTAAAAAAAATAATCCGATTCTGTCTGTGGTCTCGTTTTCCAGAATTGAAATATTCAAGAACACAATTGAAAACACCATTAAAATAACAATAAAATAAAGCAGTGCAGAAGTGTTTCAGCATAATAGGAGGTCAAGCTAAAATGCAAAATAAACAATAAAAACAATTATTTTTTTATTTTTATAGCTTTAAAAATTTTTACATTATCCACAAGCATATAAAAGGAAGAATAAAAGATGATAAATTTGATTTATCCCAGATATTTAGCAGGCTTCAATGAAGTTCAAGACAAATTGTATTAACTGGACTTGAAATATATGGATAAATATTTGTTCAATCGCACTGAATCATCCACCTCATTCTATTAATACAACACCATTTATTGTAATAATCAAAACCCCAACCTCCTCTATCACACCAAAGATCTCTATTAGACCAACCCTATTATGACACAAAATTATTTACTAATGGAAAACACTAACACTGTGTGAGAAAAAGCTCATTTTTACACGGCTTAACACGATGTCATGATATTTAAATTAAAAGTAAAAAAAGAAAAAATGTAGGATTGTGATTTTAAAGTTTAGATTCTTTTTAGGTGCAAGTAGAATTATCGAAATGCTTCAAGGTGTCTAAAATGGCAAGTGTATTTTAAAAGGAAGTGGTTTCGACTAAATCAATTATACAATACAATTAATTAAGGTTTTAAGTTGAGATAAAAAAGTCAGTGTCACGAGCGGGATTCGACCCCACGACCTTCGGCTTGATACGCCGCTACTCTACCACTTGAGCTATCGTGACCTCGATCAACTCGGACACTGACTTCCCATCTCAACCGTACCTTTTGAATTTTCCCTCCTTTTTTGCCATTTTTCATGTCCAAGGGGATCGAAGTCACGATAGCTCAAGTGGTAGAGTAGCGGCGTATCAAGCCGAAGGTCGTGGGTTCGAATCCCGCTCGTGACACTCGGGCGGTAAAATCTCAACTTAAAACCTTAATTAATTGTATGATATTAATTGGTCAAGTGGACCATGAAAAATAGTGAACTCAATTATACAATTTTCATTTGGCCAAAATTTTACTTATCCAGTTTTCCTCTGATAGTGTTGATATATTAATATAATGATCAGGAGGAAGAGAACAAAATTGGAAAGCAACATATGAGGCAGTTTCAAATTACATGGCTACATTCAGTTAAACATACACGGCAAGATTACATTCAAACCACATTTGCAAAGTATTGAAAAACACTAACAGGATTCCAAGAAAACGCTCATTTTAAATTATTAACAAAAAACCATATTTAAATACAAAAGTCAATAATAAAGTAATATAACTGAACAAAAAGAGAAATGTAGCATGCTACTGATGAAACAGTTTAAAAATCGAGGATTGGATTTAACATGGAGTCATCTGGAAAATCTTGCCTGCTCCTGCCTTTTCTATATAGAAAATTTAAATAAGCAAGATATACAACAACCAAGTACAATCACAATACACCGCAATCAAGCCCATTAATCCGACCAGTTTGAAGAGGAGTGAAAAAGTTGACAATATTGTGAGATATGCATATATCCAATTAATAACACAATTTTTCACAGGCAGGATACAAACCCACTATTTTCAGTTAGATACTCCAATGCTCTACCAATTGTCCTAACAACTCGGAATAATAATACCTCAAGAGAAAACTGGAATTGGGAAGACAAATTCACTTATCCGATAACAACAATCACATCACTATATGTTGGACGACTGACAGGTAGGGTTCCTGGCCGGTTTGACCACTGACAACACAAAGGTAGGTAACATATAAAATGAACCACTGGATCAGACCGTACGATACCGTACAAATTTCAGAAGTTTACAAAGAATTGAACATATTTGGCCATATTACAATTTGCAAAGTGGCTGCGTAAAAAACTTTCTATAGCAAAACTAATAGTTTCACCTTTCAACAAAGCACGACTTTTGATACATGAAAAAGTTATATTACTAATTATTTAGAAAAAAAGTACACTACAATAATGTAATTAGTTTTTTTTAATGTGCCATTGTAAATTTTTAAAATTAAATACACTGACAGGCAAAATATTCCACCCAATTGATTTTTTTTTTCATTTTCTCGCTAAAAGAAAATTCTGTCCTTAATTTATCTAATTTTTTTACCAATAAATATTTGTTTATGCTATGTTTTAAATTGGAAAAATCAATTAGAGGTAAACACAGTTACTCCTTAATCCAAAACAAGGATTAAGGATTTTTGATGTTTACTTTTTATGGAATTTAAAATGGTTATTCAGTCTCTTTTGAATTCTGAAGCAATTAACTGTCTAGTTTCATGTTTGTTTTCTTAATTTCAATTTTTAAACTTAAAAATGCGACTTAGTGCTGAGGATGTTGCGCATGGTGTGGCACTTATTGATGATGGAAGTTCCATCAGGTATGCGGTTAGTGCCATTGGAATTCCATATGAAACACTGCGAGAAGCCGTTAGACATTTTCGAGAAACTGGGTCCTACCATAGAAAGCCGGTTCTGGATGCCCTAGAGTAACAGAACCATAAGATGACCATTGTTTTTTTGACTTGGAGAATTTTGCGAAACCTGCACTTTATGTTCGAGCGATCATCAGCTCCAGGAAGTTCCAAATTTATGAATGCATTACTCGAAGAAGATTAAATCAGTATGGATTTGGCTTTTCGCCCCATAATTGACCAGAACACAGAGTTGCACGGCTCATATTTGCTCGAGAACACAGCCATTGGTCTTTAGGCGATTGGTCTGCTGTACTTTTTACAGATGAGTGTAGATTTGCTCCACGATTTCTAGATGGACATGAAAGAGTATCGAGAAGGTGAAATGACAGGTACAAAGCCAGTAATTTTTCCTAGAGCCAACCGTTTCAACGTAGCTGGAATTTCAAAAGAGTCATACAGAATTGGTCGTTGTTCGTGGATGGTCTTTCATGGCTACTCGCTCTGTGGATGAAATTTTGGAACATCATGCGTTGACTATCCTCGATGAAATCAGCGACAATCCTATTCTAATGTCATTCTTATGTTGCTCGCATAGTACAAACATACTTTCAACAGCATAACATCAGGGTCTTAGCCTGGCCAGCCCATTCTCTAGACTTGAACCCAATTGAACATTTTTAGAATTAATTTCAAAAGATAAATAAGAGCACATCCATCGCTTCCTGATACACTCTACAATCTTGAAAAGTCTTTTCGCAAAGAATGGGCTAACCTCAAGAGACTTTTCCAGACTGGTAGAAAGTATGCAGGGGCATCTTCGAGATGTAATTAAGGCAAGAGGATAAAATACGCGATATTGAATTGTTAATAAAAATCTAAAAGAAAATTAGAATTATTTAGCAATTTACTTTTTTTTTTTTTTAACTTTTTTAGACAAAGACTCAATTATTAAACGTTAAAAAACGTGAAAATTTGATTAATATATAAAAATATATACAAATCAAGTTATATTACAAGTGGGTGGTTTTTTTACCTGTCATTTTTACAGATCCGAGTGTTTTTGTCATGTAAGGGTATTCCAATGAAAGCAAATTCACGGATTATGTAACACTTTATCTTTTGGATTCGAATGCAAAGAGGAAATTTAAATAAAATTCATACATGTTACTTCAATAATTAATGTGGAGAGAAAACATTGTCTCGATTATTGGTGATAAATCAAATAATAGTGTTTTGGATGATTGATGATAATTAATTTAAGAATCGTTCTGGTCAGAAACGATAGTGTTCGAGGTGCCAGAACTGACGATGACAGGGCCGGAAGAGAGAAACTGCGCTGTCATAACGTGATAAAAAAAAGGCGACAAACCCCAGGAGGGTGGTCGTTTCACCCCCTTTCGCTGTCATTTTTGATAAGGGAAGGTTTCGTGGGCGGACCCCCCAGAGTCGGATCGAGATCGTCGTCTTTGAAAAACAAAAAGTCCAACTCACCAGACATTTTCGATGTTTGTCCGCTGCCGGTTTACGAACGGGAATGGGAACGGGACGAAGAACCAGCCGGGAATGAACGCTGCTGCGACGACCGGCCAAGGACGTCGTAACCTGGAAAATAACCTGACACTCAGATGACATCCCCCCTTGCGTCAGTCTCACTTACGCTGCAGACCCTTATGAACACTCCTCGCCCTGTTCAGAGATCAGCGAAGCATCGAAAACGGGTTTTTACCGACGGAAGGGAATAATTTCGTGTCCGTACAAAAAAAAAAGGGGATATCCTCTATCGTCGATGTGAACCGATGGTGCTCGGAATCCGAGGAATTTCCTCTTCCAGTCCCTAGCCATGACCAGGGTCGAGTTGAGCAAGGTGTCAGATGGCAAGGTAAATACGATTAAAAAAATCATTCAGAAGAATGTGCTTAAAAAAAAAAATTTTCCCAGTCGAATGTAAAAGCAGTCCTGACGAGTCTCTGCGCTGGAGCGGTTGCCGGTGCCATCGCCAAGTCGGCCATCGCTCCTCTTGACCGCACCAAGATCAACTTCCAGGTAAAACAAGTTTAACATGACATAAAAGTTTTCATTCATTCACTATTTATAAACACTATTGCCTAACACACATTAATTTTGAAACATTGATTTATCCGACAAAACTGTTTTAACACAACCGAAATATATACCTATTTGTACCGCAACCGGTCAAAGGAACGGTTTTTAGAGGATTTTGTTTCTCCTGATTGAATAGAGAAATATTGATTTTTTTTCTAAGACTTTATTGTAATTAATTATTACATTTTAGTTACGTGTAACAATAACTTATTTATTAATAATTAACATGAAAAATTATGTGGGTTTTATCCACCGACAGATTCCACTTGAATATTTAAATATATAACAATGAGAGAATGGCAAAGGAAATTTACAAGCATTAATCAATAAATAATATAATCCATTTACATTTTGGTGGTGAATTGACCAAGTTACTTCTTTCAATTAATTATTATTTCTATGTAAGGTCTTGGTTGAGATAAAAAAGTCAGCGTCACGAGCAGGCTTCGAACCCACGACCTTCGGCTAAATATGCCATTTTTTATCTCAACCAAGAACTTACATAGAAAGAATAATTAATTGAAGGAAGTAACATGGTCAATTGACCACTAAAACATAAATGGATTAATATTTAATTAAAAGAAGTATGACTTCACTAAACAGCTCCCACTGGCCATGTCATAAGTTGCTGAGAATCCAATCCTGATTACACAACATTTGAAAATCGTATAAAGAGGGAAAATTCTAATGGTTGTAGGTTGAGATGGAGAGTTGGTGTCTGAGAGGATCGAAGTTGCGATAGCTCAAGTGGTAGAGCAGCGGTGTATTTAGCTGAAGGTTGTGGGTTCGAATCCCACTCGTGACACTGACTTTTTTTATCTCAACCAAGACCTTACAAGGAAAGAATTATTAATTGAAAGATGTAACTTGGTCAATTGTCTACAAAAACTTAAAAGGATTAATATTTTAAAAAGTAAAAGAAGTATCACTTCATGAAACAGCTCCCCGTGGCCACTTCATAAGTCGCTGAGAATCCAATTCTGATTACACGACATTTGAAAGTGGCAAAAAGAGGGAAATTTCTAACGGTTGTAGGTTGAGATGGAGAGTTGGTGTCCGAGTGGATCGAAGTCACTATAGCTCAAGTGGTAGAGCAGAAAAGGTCAAGCATTAAGCAAAGGTCGTGGGTTCGAATCCCGCTCCTGACACGGATGTTTTTATCTCAACCTTACATAGAAAGAATACTTAAATAATATAATATTTAAGTTAATTTTTTCTACAAAAATTTAATACTAGCAAGGAAGATATGTATTTATTACTCAGGATCCCAGATCTTGTTCTTTTCTTTTGGTGGAGTAGGATGCGCTATGATGTCACGCATTATGGGGTTAGGGTGGACGGCCATGGCTCTTTTCAACCTAGTGTTGGCTAGTATGATGCAATACATTTTGATTATTTATTATTCGAGGTGGAATTTTTTTTACGTATTATGGTGCATTAGTTATGAGTCTCAATATGGTTTCGAACCCTTTGCACTTGGTTGATGTGTGCAGCCCACACTAGCTTTGCATCTAAGTACAAGCTCAGGTATTCACTGTGCTTTGTTGTTCACTTACCTTGTAGATCTAGGCTTTGGGATCAATGCTTCACTTATAGGTAAAGCAAACCAATTTAGACTTTTTAGGATTTAGCTTTACCCTCCAATTTCCACACCATTTGATGTGGTGAGCGTAGGTCTGCCGTTTTCTCACCGCTATGCGTGATTTGCCGATTGCCAGCGCTGCCACATCATCAACAATGTGGGCTGGTCACAACAGAGGGGACTGTGAGAAATCTGCAGTGTAGAGTATGCATGCGACCCTGTAGAACCTCAGCATTAATAGGCTTCTCAGGAGACACAGACTCATTACAACTCACAGAAAACAACTGGTTAATCAGATAAGATGATATCAGGCGATAATAGGTGTCCAGAGAGGCGTCGGTGGCCGCAACTGTTTAGGCGTTGACATGGCACTTGGTAAAGGTCCTGGGTTCAAATCCGCGGCCCTGCATTTACACTCGACATACTTACAAACGGACTTTTTTCCCCTTCTATAAACACCTTGAGGGTTGATATGACCTCTGCTGTCTAAGGACAAAAAACAAACTACATAGGTGTTCAGAATAGTGGTTTTAATTTTTGCAAGTAATCCAATATGCCATACCCAATCAATATTGATTTTGGTAAGGGAATATTAAATAAAGTAACTTTAAAGTAATAATTAAACAAATATGTATTTTTTCTATTTATTTATTAGAATTTATCTGTTTTCAAGCTTTGGCTCCACACAATTTTTTTTTAATCAAAACAGATAAATCTGAGAACTCAACTTCTTCAATATTAACTTCTCCACTATTTCTTATTAGCTTAAACAGCATAGGACGTTCTGTATTCCACACCCCAATACTAACCATGACAAAAATCTCACCGCTAGACAGAAGATGTGCTATGTGTGTTTTATATAATATTTTTCTGAACCAACTCACAGTTTGCTAAACAAATCCCGACAATCTATGTATATAAAACAGTTCCGCAACTGACTAACGGACAATGCACAGACCAAACCGAGGGCTGAAATTCCGACAGCGCATTCCTATATGACATGGATATCTGCTAAGAAAGGATGGTATTCTTGCATAAACAAATAAATATGATTGTTAGGATTCAAAACAAACTAATAATCTCAAATATGGTTCCATTTTTACAAATGGAGAAAACCGGTCATTTTTAAAACGAGCCAAGGACATTTTCTCCCATCACTAATCACTTTCTTTAAAAATAGAAAATTCTTGTATATTATTCATAAATTTTTTAAAGGAATTTTATCAGTAGTTCAGGAAAAATGTATTCATTCCATTCTCTGTCTGTGTTTCTCTCTCTCCCTCTCTCTCTTCCTCTCCCTCTCACCCTTTCCCACTCTCTCTCCCTCTCTTTCCCTCTCTCTTTAAATGTACAAAATAAGAATAAATATAATTATAATTCTATAAATAAGATAATATACAAAATAAGAATAAATATAATTATAATTCTATAAATAAGATAATATACAAATAAGAATAAATATAATTATAATTCTATAAATAATATAATATAATAAATATAATTATAATTCTCTTCAAATATACAAAATAAGAGAAACAGCAGTATCTAATGTGCTGAATTCTATTCCAACAAATTTTATGAGGGTTGCGTTAGCTGTGTGGTTAGCGAAATAGGCTAGGCTCTAGGTTCATACAAATATGGGTCATGGTTTCGATTCCCAACACCACCCTTGGCCCTTTTTTTACAATACCCTTCCCTTGAGGATATAATAAAAACTATCGCATTATTTGAACTCGTATTCTGGCTAATGTTGAAAAGAAAAGAAAACAAATTACTTTCACTATCTACATATGCATATATGTGTCCATTTTAGCCCTGTATACTTGATTTGCTCAAATAAATTTAAAGAGAAATCCAGAAGTTACAGTTACTGCTTGTACTTATTTCTATTTATTTTTTTAATTTATTTTTTTATTTATTATTATAATTTTTTTAAGTGAGGGAGGGGTTATTTTAACTATGCCCTTGGAAGTGTAAGATGTAAGGTTCTCTGATTTGATTTCACAGGGTATCTTGTGAGTTTGATCCTTCCATAAACATTTTAAGTCTCTCAACCGCCACTGCACTTTGTTAATTTACAGTGTCAATAACAAGGAGTCCCTTATAGGGAGCGTGTAGGCATATACTTGTTATAAAACAGTCCTTGGACATGAGAGTAGGTTGTTGGGACCCCTGTTCTGATTTTTTAAGGAAATGGAAGCGTTTCCCCACGTTTAATCTGAAATTTTATCATTTGTGTGAATGATTAAGTTAGAGGCATGAAAATAAATAAATAAATCAAAAATTGGTATTTTGTATAACTTTATTTATTGTTTTGACAATATTATTTATATATATTTTTTTAAATAAAAATTTAATAATAAAAATTTTTAGAAAATCTAAACCAATGAATCAACTCACATGATTTCACTGGCTAGAAAATGTATCTGTCTTTCTTAGGGTAATATTGATGTTTTTAATAGTCAGCTAAACTTTGACTTGATCATCGTTTTTTAATTGTGTCAGTCATGCTCTGATTTCTATTTTGTTTTTTGTTAAAGGTTTAAAAAATGTTTGTTTAATAAATTTTCAATGTTGGACTAATTTGACAATAATAATATCTAAAAATTATAACCTTTGTCAAACAAAAAATACGGCCCCACAAACAGGACATTGCAGGTGAAATTGTGTAAAACTCAGAAAATAGCCACAAAAGAACACAAAAAAAGGATTACACTATTGGGATCAACATTCATAAAAAAGCCCCCATTAAAAAATCCAGACTTCACTACAGATTTTTAGCACAATACAAGATAATTCAGATACTTCATCAACAAAGGCGATCTTATGAAACTAATACTTCATAGTTTGAAGTATATTGATTCAATGTTCAGAGTATGAAGAACAACTCACAGAAAACAACCGGTTAATCAGATAAGATGATATCAGGCAATAATAGGTGTCCAGAAGGGGGTCTATTAACATTTCTATTCCAAACTGTCTTACACATTAAGAAAAAAATGCTCAACTTCTGAATTTTAAACTATTTCAACCACACTCTATAATAATATTCTTGCGTGAATTGGTACCCATGCTTTGAGAAATCCCTGCATATTTAAAAATTTTGAGCAATATTGGCGGAGCAAGAGACGGACACAATCACCGCCAATTTTTTATGTAACGCTTTAGCATATACCAAAACAACATTTGATATTTTTCTCAATCGCTTTTGAAACATGGGATGTCAGAAAAACAATTTTTCCAAATAAAATTACAGGTGATCACACCCCACTGAGATAATTGTTAATGGCCAAATAAAAGTTATCAGGCTATTCGGTGGAAAAAAAAAATTATGTGATAAAAAATATGGTTCACACAATCTACCTCATGCATTCTCTTGGCTAACACCGAAATCTGTCATAATATCAACATTTATTTAAAAAATTACGGATGAGGAAATCTCATTGAATGTGTGATATGGTAACACAATATCAAATTTCAATCATCCAACATAAGTACATTGACACTTACAATCCTATGAATAACATCTATTGATTTCAACCAATGAATAACATCTATTGATTACAACCAAACTACACAATGCAAAATTTTTCAAGATCAAGTTCCCATTATGGCAAAAATTACTAAGATTTTAAACCAGCTCCTCCTTATCACAATTATTACAGAAAACAGTTTCAAAGTGGATACACTCAAAACAACAATTCCTTTCGTACAAATAATCCACTAAATTACAAACTATAGTTTATTAAAAAAAGGTATCACGACAACTACATTTTCAAACAACCAACCTTTCGATGCTTTCATAACAAGGATCCCAGACACTAACAATAATTATAATTACACCCACTCAACAATAGATATATGACTCATATATGTTTAGTGGTCTTAGTTGACCATATTCATTATTTCAATTAATTTTATTTTTATCTAAGGTCTTTTATCTAGGTTTAGATGCAAAAGTTAGTGTGATCGAAGTCACGATAGGTCAAGTGGTAGAGCAGCGGTGTATTGAGCCGAAGATCGTGGGTTCGAATCCCGCTCGTGACACTATTTTTTCATCTCAACCAAGACCTTAGATAAAAAGAATAATTAATTGGAACAGTTATGATAGAAATCAAAGCATTCCAAACAAACCTTGTAACTTTGCAACATATGTGCGCTACCAAAAACAACCTACTTCAACAAGGCATAATTGAGCAGATTTTACAGTCGCTGAGCTTCACCTTAGTGTTAAGAAAAGAAGGATCATTAAAAAAAAAGACTTGTAATAAATTACAAAAAAATCAATAACAAAATTTACAGCATGGCTGCTACCAAATATCAAAGACATTTTTAGTTACATAAAGGGATCTAACTATTTTGATCTGTCTAACGCTTTTTATCAACTTAAATTGCACAAAACCTCTACTCTCTACATGGCTTTTAAAACTCCTTACGGCCATTAGCAATTCAAAATGTTCAAAAGGGCTACCGAGTTAGATTGTTTTTCATTTAAAGTTACACACGTAAAAGGAAAAAATAATACGGTAGCAGATTATCTTTCCCGATTTACCCAGGAAGATAATAGCTTAACTGACAACGAGGCCTCCGAAGAGAATGTCCTAATAGAAAACACCCAACTGACTCTATTTACATTGCTGATAAGAAATCTACTTCCCTTCTTTGAGTACTTTGGACATTTTCAATTAAATGATGACCAGATAAAAGAAAAACTAAATCCAGATGATCCCAACATCCAAAAAATAAACAGATTAATTTGTTACACACTGTCGAATGACCCAAATGCAAAAAGAATCATAGTACAACGAAGTTTGAAGATGGCTCTGTTCGAATATTACCATTGCAACACTTACAGTTCACAATTAGGATTTGCAAAGGCCTTAGCAAAGTTTAGATCACTCTTCACTTGCCAGGAATGAACAAAGATGTAACAAATAAAATGGTGCATTGTAAGATTTGTAAAAAACCTAACCCATCCAAGCAATTCTGCAAAATTCACCAACTTAAAGATTGGTAGAAAAACATACAATTGCATATTCTTGATGTGTAAAACATTGCCAACTAATGTATTTGTATGCAATTTATAGCAAGGATATGCCAAGTTCACCAGAAATGATCATATTGTGTACAAATATTTAAAAACAGACTAACTGACAAAATTTATTTTAAAGACTGCTAAAAGATAGTTTTTTATTTTTTTAAGGCAGTGATTAGATTTTAGATTTAGTTGGCTAGGGCAGACAATGACATGTTAACTAAGATTCTGTTATTTTGTAAAAGTGTAAAAAACGTAAATAGGATACAAATTATTAAGATTAATCTAAGAAAATACTAGGAGTCCTTTAAATACGGAATTGTGTGTTTATGAATTAATAAATTGTCTAAATATTAAAATATTATACAGTTATAATTAAATTACGTATAATTTTAACAAATCATTTACATACCCAAATTTCTTAAATTTTTGTTTACTTTCTGTACGTTAATTTAATCTAGAAGTGTTTCAATAATTGTAAACATTTATTGAAGTTGAAGTTACTACATTCTTAAGAAAATTTATGTTTAATTTTGAATGGTCGAAAGATATTATACAGATAATTAATAGATAAAATAGTTAGACATTTCAAGGCCTGTTTTAAAAAAAAAAAATTTAAAAAACAAGGAATTTGTTATCATTGTTGTTAGTGTTTGTTGTAAAGAATTGCGATTGTTATAAAATTTACCTTGACCCATTCATACTTATTGATTTCTTATCATTTGATTTTTAGATCTTAAAAAAAATTACTAAATTAGAAACTCACTTGGAAATTTATGATTTCTCCAAGTTAATTATTATTATTTTACAAAGGTATTTCAACTAAGAGGTTATTTGAACTGTCGGGGTCCAGTGTTTCTGAAAAAAAAAAGTCCATTTGTAAGTATGTAGGGCTGCTGGATTTGAACCCACGACCTTTACCTTACACATGAGCACGTGGCAACGCCTAAACCATTGCAGGCATTGAGTTAAAAAAAAATTGTCTTGTAAAAAAGATTAAACTGTCTTCATAATCAAACATTATTCTCTAAAAAGTTTTGGGCTTTATAAAGTTGGGAGAAACTGTGTTTACAAATTGTGCCCATGTCTGTTCAAACAGTGATCTATCCTTCTTTTGAAAAAAATCGCTTTCTTTAATTCGCTTGCAAAATACAAGTAACACTTGAAAATGTGTTTTAAAATTATATTTTAGTATCTGCATCAAATATTTAAAGTAGTCAGTGCTGCTTATACAGCACAGGATTATACTTAAGAACAATTAACATAGAAATTATATGAAAAATTTAAGCCTGTTACATTTTAGAACTTAGTATTTTTATAATATTTTATTATTATAAGGTCTGTGTTATCATCCTGAATATTGATAGTGGAAACTTATTACATAATTAATTGCTTTTTACTGTTAGATAATTTCCAAAATTACATAAAATTACAGCTTATTTAATACTGTCAATTTAATTGATTATGCATTGTTTGTACTTTTAAAAATTTGAATTTAAAGAAAAAATTCAATGCTAATAAAACATCAACTTTTTTTCTGGTGTTGAGTTCCCTTATTTAACATAAGCCTAACATAGAACTAAAATGTACTTTATACATGCATTTTAGAAATGTTTGGCAGATTCTTAGTTAATTATTATATAATTCCTCTTTATAGATTTAAAAATAAGGGGAATAAATTTGCTTTTAATGACTCTCAGTCTGAGTTTGTAGTCAATGCCAATTTTATTTAGCCTTTAAAAGGGCATCGTGCCAAGTTGTACAAACTAAATTACTTTAGTGGTACTTCAACTTCCGTGTAGGATTGAAATTTCTTACATTTCATCACAGTACACGGTACTCCGTTAACCTTGGTCAGGTCCTTTAGAAGTAGATAAGAAGGCCCATTGTCATCTTATCTACATAGAGGTCTTTCTATTTCAATGAAGCATAAAAAGTTCATTTTAAATAAATATATACATAAATTGTCGTGCAAAATTGTTAAATTGCTTGTTTGAGATTGTTATATGTATTTTTTTGAATAAAAAAATATGTATAATGTCATTAAAAAAAAAATATACAGCCTGAAGTTACAAATTACAAATATTATGTAATTGTTTCTACTTCGACTTGGCATCTTTTATCATGAATGTTGAGCATAATTTGGTACTCTAATAAATTCTTTTAATTTTAATATTGTTTAAATATTATATTTAAAATACATTGCAAATTCACCATTCAAATTAAGGAGTTAACTCATAACTAGTAATTTTAAGACAATTATTTTATTTTTACATGAAGGAATTACCTAATTACATTACCCCAATGGATGTTAAGCTCTCTCTTCTATATGAAAGTAAATGGATTTAATTTACTTACATAATTAATTACGTTATTGTATTAGTTTTATCACATTAAGCTTTTGCTGATTTCTCTTGCTCAAAAATGTATTTATTTTTCCAGGTGGGAAAATGTAAATACAGTACAAGGGCTGCTTTTCGCTTTTTGTTAAAATCGTACAATAATGACGGACTTCTCTCTCTTTGGCGTGGCAACAGTGCAACGATGGCCAGGATAATCCCTTACGCCGCCATCCAGTTCTCTTCGCATGAACAATGGAAAAGGCTGCTTGATGTCGAGTCCTCGAAGTAAGATATTAAAGTAAATATGCTAGCACATATTTATTCCATGTTGTAACTGTGGTTGAATTACATTTCTTCCTAGATTTACCAATAATGTTAAAAAAATTAAAATATATTTTTATGGAATTGCAGGACAAAACGATTTTTAGCGGGCTCCCTGGCTGGAATTACATCACAGACATTGACTTACCCTCTGGATTTGGCTCGAGCTAGGATGGCTGTTGCTTCAAAAGGAACATACACATCATTGTCTAAGGTGATAATTGTATATTTCGATCAAAATTATTATTTTTATGTCATTCGATATTTAAAGATTTATTACAAATTTTATTTTATTTTTTATTTTTTGGCAAAGAATAGTAGTGAGAAAAAATTGTGAAATGGTTCTAAATTTACCTAAAAAGTAGGTATTTAATGAAATGACCTTTGGCACTTAGCTTGAAAATGGAAAAATTTAAAAATTAATACACTTCTTAAACTAAGGTTATTCATAGTTTTTCTAGAAATCAGAATTTTAATTTTTATAAATTATTAAATTAGCTTTATTTATTTTATTGTTTTTTCAAGAAGTCAATATTTGCAGGTTTTTGTATCTATCTGGAATACAGAAGGTGTGTACGGGTTATATCGTGGATACATCCCAACAATACTCGGCGTCATACCATATGCGGGTGTCAGCTTTTACACATATGGCATGCTTAAAAAATGGGTCACAAGTAAGTTTTTCGTTAATGCAAATCAAGTCGAGAATTGAAAAGCGTTATTGTTTCAGGAGAGTACGGCCAGACGAATGCTGTGACGAACCTCATTTGTGGTGCTGCGGCTGGGATGCTCGGTCAGACCAGTTCGTACCCACTTGACATTGTCAGGCGACGGATGCAAGTCTCTACCCTTACCGGTGAAGAGTACAGGCGTATCATTCAAACTCTAGTCAAAGTGTACAGGTAGGCACATTAATTCTGCATTATTAGAAATAATTTGAGGTAGAGTTAGTATGTCAATTAACTTTTCTACATTGTTCAAAGTTAGGAGTGAACAGTTTGAAACCATTTTACTTTCTGAATTTTGAATTGATTAAAATTAAATATAAATATAATAATTGTTTTTAATGAGGGTTCGCTATAGCAAAGGTCATTTCAACTCTCAGGGTGTCGGTATTTTAAAAAAAAGCCCATTAGTAAGTTAGGTTCGAATGCGTTAGATTTGAACCCAGGACCTTTATCTTACAGTGACGAATGCCTTGCCAACGCCTTAACCGTTGTGGCCACTGACCCCCTCCCCTGGAGAACATTTTATTGTAAGTTTTTTAAAATATTTTAGAAAGGGGAAAATTATACTAAAATAAGAACATTTTTCAAGGCTTTATTTTATCTTGAAAAAGGTTCCTTGACAAACTTGACTAATCTACCTTGTACTTGAACCTTGTACTATTTTGGAAAAAATATTTTTATCTAGATTGAACACTGTTTTAAAGTTTTTTCGCAACTATTATTCTGGCAAGATTATTTTAACTGCAACTTTACATGCAGTGAAAAGCCAAAAATCTAAAATAATGCAAATACATAAATTGATAACCGTGTAATTATAATGAATAAAGCCAAATAATTAATACACATTGTAGAAACAACTAGGCTAAAGTATAATACATATTGTTACAAAAAGCAATGATAGTAATTGAAAAATATTTATTTTTATAGTACAGTACGGCCTCCATTCAAAGGTTGGTGCGGTTGACACTGCATACGCAATATTTTTCCCTACTCTACCACCTGTGCAAGTAGGTAGTCAACCACTCATGGTTGATGCCCTTTGGCTCAGTTCTCAACTTGTGTTACAGCTTGTTTTGGCATGATTCTTTTGTAAAATGCTAAAAACTTTGAGTCATCAATGTCGTGCAGTTCCTTTGCTGTTACAAATAGCCGACAGTTAAAGTTCCGCAGTGATGTACCGATTCTTTTCTTAGCCTCCTTTTCATTTGACGGTACCAATAGAACGTGACAATGCCCTCCTCTTTACTTGAACTACTCATTATACCATTATATTACACTCAAAATGAGAAGAAAAACAGTTTTGTGAATGTTATGAGAACCCTCCTTGCAAGAAGAGTAGAGAGAACAAAAATCGACCCCCGCACCAAGGTTGCGTTGCTCTCACATCTCGTTCATGTCATGTTGACCAAGCTTAAGAACAAAACAAAATTTGCTTGTTTATTTAATTTTATGAATTTAATTTTCTTCAAATGTAGAAATGTGTGATGTTTAGTGACCATTAGTTAACGGCACGATAAAGAAAATGTTTTTATAAAACCTACGTCACACCAGACTGCAGATCTCCAAATAACAATTTTCTTCAAAGTAGAAATTAATTTAAAATGTACTGATTATGTAAATAATTGTTTACATTTAAAAATCAAGTTAAACATTGGTCATGTAATATTTACTTGCTTTGGCTTGTAATGATTTGTAAACATTTAACCTATATTTAAATTTTTTTCAGTGACGAAGGACTTATGGGTATATTCAAAGGGTTGAGCATGAACTGGGTGAAGGGGCCAATCGCCGTCGGAATCAGCTTTGCAACTTACGAACACATCAATGACTCTCTTCACAGGTGGTTATGACATAAGGACAAAGCTATTTTCCTGACTTAGAAGGTTCCGTTTCGGCCAAACTGAAGATGGAAAATAGCTTTTGATATTTTTGGGCAGTCATCGCTCAAAGTGCCAAAACCTGCCGATAGACTTAATTTTTTTAAATGTGCATCACGCTCAAAAGCTCTGCCTTATAGAATATGCTAAAACAGTTTGAAAAATTCTGTTCGATATTTGTTTCAATGAAATTTTTAAAAATAGTAGCAAGATTGTTGTATTGTATTGATAGTTTATTTATCTCTATTTATTTGTAAATACACTCAAGCAGACATGAATTTTATTTTCTGTTGTTATGTTTTATCAGTATATAACTTTTTACTTAGATTTTGTAAAAAAAAATATTTAGGAAAATGTAATTTATGATAAATATATTGTAGGAATTATTAACAATTGTTATTTATCCCTCCTATAAAACTTTTTTTCACCCGTAATATTTGTATGTATGTGTTTAACCACTCAAATTATTTAAAAAAGTATGTTTTGAGTATTGGATTGCATAAAATTTTTAATTTCATCTTAAATGTGTACTTAGTAGACAAAATGATTTATCACTAGCGTAGATTATTTGTGAGAATAGTTTTTCTTTGTTAATTACAAAAACATTCATTTCATAATGCTGAAAATCAAAATGAAGACCAATGACGACATAAGAAAAGCATTATTAAACTATTATAAATTGTTGTGTTTGAAACATTCACAATGTTAGCAATTAAATACTTTTAATTTATAATATATAAATTATTATTTTTTATCTGAGGTCCTCAAACTTTCTGATGAAATTTTGTATGTAACTGCTTGTACAGGAAAGAAAAATAATCAATTTTGTTTAATATATTTTTTAAAATGTTTTATTTGTATGAATGAAATGCAATATATTACATAGTTTTGTTTTTATTTTAAATTTTCTAGCATCGTATGATAGTAGCCTTTTAACTAAGAATACAAAGTCCGATTTATATTTTTCTTTAAATAATTAATAATTTAAGCCCAAAACAAAATCAGACCTCCTTACATTTATTTATTATTTATTAAAGAAATTTATTAAAACCTTTATGTTAAAGTAACACATTTGATTTATAAGTATGTAAAATATCATTAATAATAAAATATTGACAGTGGATGTCTATAAACACTTAAATTCATTTAAAATCAGCTCACATCTATTTATATTTAGAAAACTGTTAAATGCTCAAATTATGAGCTGAGTTAATGTTAGAATTAAATTTCGTGTATATATATTAATCAATCAATTTTTTTTCAGGATCGAAAATGCTACAAATGAAATTGTCTTTTTGAAGCACACAAAAGGAGATAGTGGAAAAGATTGAAAGCTTAAGGGGAAAGCAGGACAGTCATCTTCTGAACAAAAATTGCATAAAGTACAGACGATGAACATATAAGACAAAAGAAACACTTTTTAAAATAAAATAGACACATTTGTCCTTAAAACTGTGATCATTTTGTTATTACGTTAAAAAAGTATGTTATTTAATTGTCTAGATGTGCTGAAAGTCACTGGAAGATTGCCACCTTTGAACAAAAATATCTTCAACAGATAGAAAAAAAAATTAATGGCTTATTTATTCCAAAAAAAGTAGACTTTTCAAATTCTATAAATACTCACTCCCTCAAAAATAATTAAATAAACATTTTAAATTTAAAAGCAACAAAATAAAATAATTTGAAATTTAAATTAAAAAAACTATTAAAAAATTGCATTTGAATATGAAATGTGTTTTTGAAACCGACAAGGTTGCTAATTGTAAGGTCTGTAAAAATATCATGTTTTCTTTTACGACATTTAAATTTATTCACTTTGGAAATGGAAAATTGTTCTTTCACAGCCTATTTTTTGTGTCAGGCATGTTTTGGTGTTCCACAATAGTTAAGATTTACAAGGAGAAAAAAATATGTCCACTAGTTGGGCTAGTATAATCAAATGATGAAGCTGTTTCATTTGGAGTCAGGGATTTCTCCCTTTAGCACCTAAACTTTCTATCCAGTCTCTGCTAATGGATTTTTGTTTCTTTTATGAAGTAAAGAATTCTTCTTAGGGATATGGTAAGGAAGTATGTCTAAAAAAAGGAATGTTTGGTAAAAAATTGGGTGTAAGGAGGAGAATATTGATAAATAGAAACAAAAACCTAAACTTTTGATCAATATTGAACTGCTAAAAATATTAAGTTAATTTTTTTAACAACTTGAAGAAAATTTATTAACATATGGACATGACAAAACTGTGTCCATGCCCTTCCTATGATCATAAGGAAATGTGTCTAAAAATAAGGAATGTTTGATGTAAAAAAAAAAAAATTGAATATAGATAAATAGAAACAAAAACCTATTCATTGATCAATTTTTAGCTGCTTAACAGTATAGTTAATTACAATTAATTAAGGTTTTTAGTTGAGATAAAAAGTCAATGGCACGAGCGGGATTCGAACGCACGATCTTCGGCTTGATACGCCGCTGCTCTACCACTTGAGCTATCGTGACCTTGACCCATTTGGACACCAACTTTCCATCTCAACCGCACCTTTTGAATTTTCCCTCCTTTTTGCCATTTTTCAGTATAGTTAATATTTTTAACAAGTGTGTGGTGTTTGGTGACTGTTACTTAATGATTATTTGGAGATCGTGAGATGCGGTCTGGTGGAAAAAGTTTTCTTTATCGTGCCTACGTTTTGATCTTTATTGAGATCATCTTCAGTGCCTGGGATTTATAAACATTGTTTAAATTTTACAAATACTGTAGGATGTGAAAAAAATGAATTTATACAATGCTAGAAAATTTTAGATTAAACAAAAATGAATATATACAGCGCTAGAAAATTTTAGATTCAGAAAAAAATGAATTTATATATGCTAAAAAATTTTAGATTAAACAAAACGAATTTTCTAGCATTGTATAAATCCTTTTTTTTCTGATTCTAAAATTTTCTAACATTGTATAAATTCATTTTTTTTCTGAATCTAAAATTTTCTATCACTGTATAAATTCATTTTTGTTTAATCTAAAATTTTCTAGCATTGTATAAATTCATTTTTGTTTGATCTATAATTTTCTAGCGTTTTATAAATTCATTTTTTTAATCTAAAATTTTCTAGCATTGTATAAATTCATCTTTGTTTCTAAAATTTTCTAGCATCGTATAAATTTATTTTTGTTTAATCTAAAATTTTCTAGCATTGTATAAATTCATTTTTTTTAACATCCTACATGAATTTGTAAAATTTAAACAATGTTTATAAATCCCAGGCCCTGAAGACGATCTCAATAAAGATCGAAACGTAGCACGATAAAGAAAATGTTTTTCTGAAACCTACGTCACACTAGACGGCATCTCACGATTTCTGAATAATCATTTTTTAACAAGTTGAAAGTATTAAAATATAATGTGGCAAATTGTTTCTATTTGCTTCCTACGATCATAAGAAAGTATGTCTAAAAAATGGAAATTTTGGTAAAAAATTGGGTGTAGGGTGGATAATATAGATAAATAGAAACCAAAACCTATCATTTGATCAATTTTTAACTGCTTAAAAGTACTAAGTTAATTTTTTTAACAACTTGAAGAAAATATATGAAAATAAAACATGACAAAAATGTTTCTATGTACTTCCTTTGATCATAGGTAATTGTGTTAAAAAAAATTCATCAAAATCAGAAGAGTAGATTTATGATTTTTTTTATATGTAAACTAACTTTCTTTATAAAATTTGTATAGATTTTTTTTTTCAATTTCAGAGGGAAAAAGAGGCTGGTTTTGTCTAAAGGTGCACCACTGTCGTCTCGATTAAATTGATTGAAACCAGCTGCTTCTCAGTTCTCTCAGCTTCAATGTTCTGTCCTTTTGTGTTCCACCTGCCTTGCTGGCCCTTGTTTCTTTTCTGTCAGATGTCATCGATAATCGCTCTTTCTAGCTGAGAGGGCGACTTTCGCCTCTTCGATAAATGTTTCATTTTCAACGGGCCCTGCCATTTTAAACGTGAGTACTGCATTTGAAAGGGGCACAGAAATACCAGGGATAATGACTGAGTTCTGCTCATCTGAGGATTCAATGCAATCCAAGGCGAAATAACAATAAAATTAATTAACTTTCTGCTATGTTGAGTATGGGTCTTCAACTATAATAATAATTAAAAAAACAAACTGTCAAGCAGTTTATCAATTTCAAGGTCTGCTCTCAGACGATACACAGTCTCTATTTTTCTTTTATTTATGATCACCCAACAATAAAGATAATAGTAATTTACTCAAAGTTTACTAAGAATCTTAATTATTAAACTACACTTATGGTCAAATTTAACGCATCACTCAATTTATTTAGTTAAATTAAATCCATTATCTTTCTACATAAGTTAACAGGTAATTAAGAACTATCGTAATCAAAATAAACAGTAAATATTACTCGATTTTTGTTGTACTGTTTAATCCCCATTTGCACAAAAAGTATCATTATACCCTTCCATTCTGCTACACCTTTCAGTTAATATTTTTCCTTCATTCTTTTCATTTGGTATTATTCTTATTCTTAAACCTTTTTCAATGGCTCCAGTCAGACATTTGAAGTAAGAAAATGTCAGAGCCTTAAAATTATTAGAGGAAAAATACAGCCAGCGAGAAGTCGCCAGGAGTGTAAAACACTGCTAGGAAGGGTTTTTTGGCGTGAAACAAACTTCACACTAGAAGGCCAGGTCGACCTAGGTCTATAGACGAGAGAGGCAATAGATTGGCAAGAAATAGATCAGGCTGTACCAGTCTGCAGCATTACAGAGAAATGAGATAAGAAATCTGACCTGACAAGTCTGAAATATTTAGATTTCCTCCAGGGTTTTTGCAGAAGGTTCAAAGAAAATAACATCAGGGCCTGGTACTCGACTACAGGACCTCTTACCGCAGCTCGGAAAATGGCTATGTTCCAATTCACACGGGAACATGTGAATTGGATATTGGAAGATCGAGGATGAGTAATCTTTACAGATGAGGTGAGTCAGCCTTAAATCTTAAGTCGGGCGTAATTTCTTGGACTGGAAGCACTTCGGTGGCATTCTATGGTGGGTTATTGATGTTCTGGGAGGCATTTCCTTGGACGCCCGCACCGAATTGGTTGTGGTACGAGGAAGATGCCTAACTTCAAAGAAGTACCTTCAAGACACTCGAAAAACTAGTAGCGCCATTTGCCTTGTACAACAGTGAGAGATTCTTGCTTTGCAGGAATGCCTGGCCCCAAGAGCAGTTTTGTGGATGACTACCTGAATGAGGTTGGAATTGCGTGCTTGGTGTGGCCAGCTCGAAGTCCAGATTTGAATCCAATCAAACACATTTGTGATGAACTTAAGCGATGAGTACAAGACAGCCCTAACACCCTAGAAGAGTTGGAAACGGCTTTTCTTGATGAATAGGGAAGACTTCCTGCGGATTTCACCAGATCTTTTCCAAGGAATGCAACAGTGTTTAACGGATGTGATTCATGCCATAGGTGGAGATACTATTAAAGGTGTCTAAAAAGTTTTTTTTTTAAACCATTTTTATTTGAATTTTCGGTTTTTGAATATTTTACTCAATAATTGATTTTTTAGAATTAGGTAATAAACATTTTCTTTTTAAATGCCTTATTTTTCTTTCAAAGCAAACCTATTTTTGGTATGCAAAATATGAATAGAGACAATTATATTAAAATTTAAGGGCGGTGCGTTAATTTTGTCCATGAGTGTATTTCCAACATAGGCATTACAAATGATTTTTTTCAATTCATTTGAATTTTTTAAACAATGAAATGAGAAGTATACTCTCAAACTAAACCGAAATTATCTCATAACTTATATGTCTAAAATGTATTTATAATTCAACAAGGAGGTGTAGTTTTTAACTATTCTTGTAATTTGATTGACACCTAACTGACAGACTAACCCAGCAAGGATAGACAGGCCAAAATGATTGGTAACGATGAAATTACAGGTCCGTCAACTCACAGAGCACAGGAGGAAATTGAAAAAAAAAAAAAATTCTTGATTCATTTATGATCTTTATTCAACTATGGATTATGCCCACCATCTCTAGTTGATATGTTGATAAAGTTTATGCTTCCAAGTGTTTTTCAGTATTTTATGCAAGTATCCTTTATGTCCTACTGTTCTGAGAGGTTCATTGGTTCATTCATAAATCAAGGGGCATTTATTGTGAAGACATGCAATGAACTCGGACATAAGGATACACACTGGCATATACTCAGAGATGTCCTGATTTGTTGTTTATTAGAAGTTGGGTTTGCCAGGCTTGTAGAGAATTATTATTATAGTATTTTCTATTATTCCAGTCAGAATCCCTCAAGTCGCGGCCATTGCAGTCAAGACTTTTCATAATACCATGAAATAGCCTTCATCATTCTTTCTTCACTATAAAAGTTAGGCGGCTGTCTTGTGTGAAATACTTTCACGATTATAGGAATTACATTCTGAAGTTTTATCTCTGTTAAGATGGACCGTAATTTCAAATTGGCCAACGTTTTCAATGATGAGAAATGAATACTGTCGTATTTATGAGATATTTTCATTAAAATGAATAAGATGAGTCTTTCTTTGCAAGGGAAAAATACCAAATCTTTCGTTACTAATGACAAAGTTCACGCCTTCAAAAGGAAAATCCAGTTTTGGGTTGAATCTGTTGAGAGCTTGCGAACGGCATGTTCATTTTTGAAATATGTTAAACACCTTTGAAGTTTGGAAATATCCTTTGAGCAATATGTACTTCCAAGCAACTAGAGATACAATGCTACAAGTCCATGAATGGGTGCTTGGTCTCACCATTTTCAGTTCCGACAAACCCAACTGGTCTATCAGAATAAGAATGATAGACTACTTTAGACTTCATTGTGAAATCTATTTTTGAGACTGATAGTTACCCCCATTTTTGACTCTGGAAAAAAATTTCAGCTGCTCGTTTAAAAAGCAAAATGTGTTCATTTCCATTTGTCACAACTTACCTATCAAATCTGGATTTTCTATCTATACAGCCACTAAAACTAAATGCCAAAGCTGTCTAGATACTGAACTTGACCTACGTCTCCAGATATCGAAAATTAAACCCATCATATCCTAATTGTTTAAGCTAAAACAACCTCACTCTTTTCTCATTAATTCATTAATAATTATTGGGTTGTCCGGAAAATAATGCAGGATTTTAAGTTTTCATTAAAAAAAATCTATATAAAATATTCTGTTTACGTTTACAGGATTACTCANGGAAATTATTTTGATTAAAGAACATTGCTTTAAAGTAACTAGTTTCTTTTTTTTTGTTTAATACCAAAATCCTGCATTATTTTCCGGACAACCCAATAATATTCAAAATATTCCTTTTGAAATTAGCTAGAGTTACCTATTGAATCCATTCTGCCCAATTAGCTTTTTGTGTTCTGGATTTTGTGAATAAAGTTAAAAAGGTTAATCTAATGTTTGTTTTCATAGTAATATACCATCATGTGATTAGGAATGAACTGGGTAATTTATGAAACTTTTAACTATATACTATCTATAAGTATGTAATTTTAAATGTGAGTGCGAGGAGGTCTACTCTGGATTTTGTTCTGTGAAAGTAGTACGCTGGCTAAAAAATTTGGGAAACCCTGCTTTATAGACTTCCTCTGATATGCAAATATGTTAATTGTAAACATTCTTCCATAAAGAGTAAATCCATTAATTTTATATTTATCTTTTAGTTCTAATTGTTACTTATTACTGATTTATATAAGATCAAATCTGCCATGCATATATTCACATGCATGTCTGTAAAGCTTATCACTTCTTGCGGTCCACCGGCTTTCCAGCTTTTGTAATTTACAATAAATGACCGCCTGGTCACCAGAATCATCCGGGATCAGACCTCGTTCTCGGTCAGGGGCTGTCAACAGCTAGTTTATTTCAGCCCCCAATGCAATCAGTTCTTAAAACCCTACCCATCACTCTCTCACTCACTCATATATATATCACTCTCACTTATATTTTAATCTTTATGATGGGTTTTGCTATGGTAATTTCATATTTAACGTTTACAACTAATTACAATTAATTAAGGTTTTTAGTCCAAGATAAAAAAGTCAATGGCACTAGCGGGATTCGAACCCACGATCTTCGGCTAGATACGCCACTGCTCTACCACTTGAGCTATCGTGACCTCGATCCGTTCGGACATTATCTTCCTATCTCAACCGCACCTTTTGAATTTTCCCTCCTTTTTGCCATTTTTCAAATGTCGTGTAATCGGATTGGATTATCGGCGACAAATGAAATGGCCACGGAGAGCTTTATTAAATTCACTAATTTCGTGGTCTGCTTGACCAATTAATATATTACAATTAATTAAGGTCGAGATAAAAAAAGTCAATGGCAAGAGCGGTTTTTTTAAAATTTTTTTTATATTTATTTATTTTATTTTTTTATATTTTTAATGAGGGTTCACAACAGCAGAGGTCATATAAACCCTCAGGGTGCTGGTGTTTTTTGGAAAAAAAAAAAAGCCCGTTTGTAAGTATGTCAGGTTTGAATCCAGAGGCCATGTATTCGAACCCGGGACCTTTACCTTACCACAATGAGTGCTGTGTCAACGCTTAAACTGTTGTGGCCACCGATGCCCTATTTTACACATATTTGGATATAAAATACTATTTTTAATTTTTATTTAAACGTATCCAATGTTTTTCTTATTCGCCACTATCAAAGTACTCTTCATCATATCTAAGCTCAATTGCTCTTTGCTTGCTTCATAATTTTACTAAATACCAGCAGTAAAACGATTTTTCCTCTGAAAAAAAAAATCTTTCAAATTACTTTTTGTATTAAATTTAAATTATTGTAGTTTGAGTAATTATTAATCTTTCCATTTCCTCTAGAATTCCAATCTTCTGTACATGATAATTCGGGAAACTGATGACTTCTCCCTTCACTAGATTAAAACAAAGAATCTCATGTTGATAAATAATGACACATTATTTTGGCACAAAGTTGATAAGCTACAATTATAACAGATAAGTAACACTAATCAAGTTCAATACAACCTATGAGTGACAGTGAGTCAAGCGTTGATAATGAAAATTAGCTTCAGAATTGGACAAACTGCCCACCATGAAAGATTAAATCATCCAGTAGCGAGTTGTGGAACTAGCTCGGCAATCTTGAAATAGAGATAATTTTGTTCAAGTTTTATGCCGAACATGTTGTAACACTGGTTTCCCAAGCATAGTCTGGAAGGAAATGGCAAGGATGATGGGAAACCTTTCTCATCCGGGCTTGACTCTGCAATTTATATTTCAGATATGATAAAAAGCATATGGTAAATGTTGTTAGACAAGATCAGAGAGAAACTACTGAGTACCCTCTAAGATGGATCACCTCATAACAGTCCATACATTATTGAACATATACATTTTACTTTTGGATCTATGCTTCCATGAAATGTCAATGGAAGCCCCCTGAAATAATGTTGGCTCACTATTCAGGGCAAGTAGGCTTATTAATTATTCTTAAGCACACACAACTGGTTCTCTCTGCTGGTCTGATTTTTTTTGTGTGTAAACATAGACCTTTCTTAAATGTATAGTAGCTTGCAGCTTTTGTTTGTGGAGTGATTGAACATATTTTTAGTTCACTAATTTCTCGACCAATTAATATGTTATAATTAATTAAGGTTTTTAGTTGAGATAAAAAAGTCAATGGCACGAGCGAGATTTGAACCCACGATCTTCGGCTTGATACGCCGCTGCTCTACCACTTGAGCTATCGTGACCTCGATCCACTCGGACGCCGACTTCCCATCTCAACCGCACCTTTTGAATTTTCCCTCCTTTTTGCCATTTTTCAAATGTCGTGTAATCAGATTGGATTCTCGACGACAAATGAAATGGCCACGGAGAGCTTTAGTGAAGTATACTTCATTTTCAATCATTAAATTCACTAATTTCGTGGTCCGATTACATGACATTTGAAAAATGGCAAAAAGGAGGGAAAATTCAAAAGGTGCGGTTGAGATGGGAAGTTGATGTCCGAGTGGATCGAGGTCACGATAGCTCAAGTGGTAGAGCAGCGGCGTATCAAGCCGAAGATCGTGGGTTCGAATCTGGCTCATGCCATATGCTTTTTTATCTCAACTAAAAACCTTAATTAATTATAACATATTTTTAGTGTAAAGAAGATAGATGATGGAATATAAAGACCACTCAAAAAGTTATATTCTTTGTATATATAGTGATGTTGAGTACTCAATTGCACTACTGGAATGAATGCTTGAATATAAGAATGAATTTATTTGAATGTAGATGTGAGAATGAGTGTAAGTTGAAACGACCCGTTTGTCAATAGCCCTGGAGTTTACTCAGTGAGCTGATATGATTATACTGAGGTCAACAATATTGGAGTAGGTTAATTCTGCTTATTTTATTTTATAGTTCAAACATTAATGATTAAATACATTTCTAATTTTTTCTTGACTAAAAATTCAAAATTGTAAACTAATTCATTGTAACTACAAATTTTTATTAATTGAAGTTAGTGTCATGAGTGGGATTCGAACCTACGACCTCCGGCTCAACGATGCTTTAACCACTTGAGCTATTGTGTCATCAATCCACTAGAACGCCAATTCCTCATCCCGAATTTTCCCTCTTTTTGCCATATTTCCAAATTATTATTCTTTTTCATCTCAATCTTGAATTAAAAGTATTATTAATTAAAATAATTAATATAGTCAATTATGTCATATGACTACTGAATACATATATCGGTCATCAATAATATTTATTTTATTTGTTTAAGGAAAATGATAATTCTAGGATTAAAGGATAATTTATTCTCCTCGTCCTTCCTGGTTTTTGACTTATTTGAAGATCTTTTAAGGTGTTTTTTCAGGGCATACTACCGTTCAACATGCCATTTGATTTGGGGACACCAGCCTCTTCTCTTCAGTTTACATTTCCAAAATTACAGTTACTTATTAAGAACAATTTTATTAATACCACTTTTAATAAAATACAGTTAAATAGTAAAATTGATAAAATAGACACCAACCTCGTTACATTTTTGGAAACATGTAAACTAATAGCTTCTTATGTAAAGGATAATTGCTGGAGTAAAACACAATTTCCACTCATGAACACTTTGGATCAAGGTATGGTCTTTAAGAAAATGCCTTGGCAATGTTAGTACTGAGTCGGTCTTCAAGGAAATTTGAGATCGTCTGTACAAACTTAAATATGTCAATCTGTGGATAGATTTATGATTGTTTTACCCTGATGATGACCTTAAAATAGGTCGAAAGCTTTGAGGTAATAACTGAATTTGCTTTTTTCTTCCGGGTCATAACTTGACCCAGTGTTCATGAGTGATACTTCTTTAACACTGAAAACTAAAATACAATTTCTTCAATTATTTCTAACAATGGTTTAATGGCTCATATTGGTACTTTGGTAATTAGATCATTTTAATTCTTATAGGTTTTGGTTAGCTTCCCCTGTTGGTTATGTACAGCCCCGAAGATCCTCCTAGGTACCGCTGGGCATATCCACATGATAATGAGAGGAACCATGTGGCAGCGATATTCCACCTCTTTTCTGTCATACTCACGTCAACAGCCCTGTTTAAAATGAACTGGTTCAAAATTTGGGGCAGCAGCTGCACGCATACACTCAGCCTGTACCAATTCATGCGCCTTGGCTATTTTGAGACTGCCCATTCACAACCATTCGCGAAGAATGGAGACGTTACGCAGATCGTTCCTGTCTATCTGCAGTACCATACAGGAAATGAAGGTATTAAAATAACTAAATCAAAAGTATGAAGATTTATATCTGATAGTAAATTTTTTTTAAATTAATAGTTTTTGACTGTGTTACACCTGAAGTTTTAAATCTCATGAGGGTTTTAATAATGCTCTGCATTCTTTGTATATTTCACTCCATGGTCGGTTTCGCACTGGACGTGATTGGCCCATCAAAAATGTCTCTCCGTTTTATAAGAAGAAATGCTTTGCCTTCTATTTGGTCAGGTAAACATTTATAAATATATATTTTTTCCAATTACTTTAGCAAAATTCATTTATTGCAGTTTTGACTGTTGTGACAATAGTGGGAGTATGTTATTTAGTTACAAGATCTTTAGATTATTCAATGAGAACCATGTACCCGACAAATATTGGGATGGTAACATATGAGAATGGTTGCTACACTGTTACAGTAGCAGGTTTGTACCTAATAAAATTAAAAGTTACTTGTAAGTAAATTGCTCTATGTTATAAAGGTGCCATCTCGCTGTTGGCCACAGCTTGCAATCTCTTACAAGATCCGCCACCTCCGCCTGAAGGACCATCGAGACAGAGGCTTGTCGATGACTTTGAAGGTCTAGAAACTTTCTCTGTCGGAATGAGGAACCTCCCTCCACCTCCACCTTATACACCTTAATTAGTAAAATTTATGATTGATACCATTGAGTATTAAAATGTAATTTGTTTATTAATATTTTTGTTTATTATAAGCTACAGGTTTGTTATGGAATTGTACTTCAAAGGTTTTTGTTACTTCAACATGCATTTAATTTGATTATAGTAAGCAATAACGTGAATAGTGTTTATCTCTTATAAAAAAAAAAATATAAATGAAAGAAACATCAAGATAATATGCAAGCAATCAATAAAGAAAATAGTGTTAGTTTTAAGAGTAGGATCTTTAATATATTAAATTTAACAAATTTTCATTTTGAGGTATCGCACTACTGAAGCAAAGAAGGATCATTAACATACCAACTTCATCCTTTAGCCTTATTTGGCAGAAAGAAAAAGAAAATGAATGAAAGAAGACTTGCTAAATTTCACTGCTGATTTAAAAATTTTGTTTGTTAATTTTATGAAATGTTTATGATTATACTGAATGTAAAAAAAGGGGTAATGTGACAATTTTAGTTGTGATAACTATTTTTGAATTTTAGATTTGTCCTTATACCAATTATTTTACACATTTAAACAACAAACTCTCATAATTGATAATGTATTCAAAAAATTAACAAAAAAAGAAATTATGGAGATGACACTATTTCATGTGAATATTATGTTAAATAAATGATATGTTAAAAAATCTGAATACTTCATTAAATATGCATGTATAGAAGGGCACAAAAATTATGCCAAGTATTTAAAAAATAATAAATAAAACAATAAAATACTGTACTGAATATTTAGGCAATTTCATGAGATTTTTTGAAACCAATTTATTTTAAACCAAAGAATGAATGTTTGGATGTGATTATTTAGTTAAGTTCAACCAGATTAACTTTGAATAGTAAATCTTAATCCCCTTTTACAAAAATAACACATCTAAGTTAAGCCTATTCTGCAGGAGTGCACAAAATGTGGCGTTTGGACGCTCCCCAAAATCGTGTTAATGCAAACAGCACTTTTCAATGCATTTGTATAGAAAAACACGGATCCAGTCTAGACGAGAGTTCCTAAAGTGTAAAATGTCGGTGTTTGATCAGCGTTAGTGCTTCTAACACTCGGAATGTTATTCAATCTACATGGACGTTCATCTCGGTGATTAAAACACAATGTTAGTCTTCTATTTCTTGATTTATATGTGTATTATTTTATTTATTTATTTTAAAGGTACAAATTGGGTTTTACGCTCTCTTACATGCACATATTTTAGAAATAAATTTAGTTTTATAAACATAGTAAATAATAATGAGAGCAATAATAATAATAAAACATAATAAAATATGCAAAACAATAATGACAATGACATATTCTTTAGAATTAATTGTTGTATTTATGATCGAATGATGAAACCAAATTATGAAAGAAAAGCAGAAAGAGAAAAAAGGAAAAAGGAGAAGGAAAAAGAAAAGGGAAGAAAAGGAGTTGATTCACGTCGTTCTCAAAAATTCAGATGCCATGGATATGAAACAAGTCAGCGAGGAAAAGGAACATACTTTTCGTTATAGCAAATTCCAGTCTTGCTCTTGCAATTCTAAGGCTAAAGTTTTGGAAGAGTTTGAAGGCTTGGGATATGATTGGTACGTTGGGACAAGGAACATGGGGAAAAAGTTGATAGATGTTGAGGACAATATGTTTATGGGTGTATTTATATATGTGGTGATGTTCAACACTGAAAAATTAACTTACAAGGTAGAGTTATGTCCACATATTTGTGCAATTAGTCCGAAGGAATATTCAAATAGAGAAGTGAAGGTGAAATGTTGGACAGAAATCCAGAAATTTTTTCTTACTTGTTGTTTCAACAATAAAATCCCTGTACCTACCTGAAGGAGGTTAGTTTTGAAACTGACTACACTGAAACATACTATTCTTACATGTACTTGTAGGGGTGGTTAGGGGGTATAGAAACTATTAAAAACAAGAGGCAGGTGTTCCAAACGCTGCGTTTTTAGCAGTCATGTAGATTGGCCTAAGAGATTTTCTCTCACTTTTTTTATTGTATGCAAAAGGTTTTGAAGTTTTTTGTTATTGTAGCTTTACTGCAATATCATTTTTAAACATTTTCATTTTCGGTTTGATTTAAACAAGTATCATTGTGCAATACATTTGTAAAACGATGAGACAAGTGCCTGTACGATAATTGTTGATATACTTTTGTACTTTTGTTTTTCATTCACTTTTCGAATTCATCAATATTATTTAATGGTTTGGCTTTTCTGTTGCTTCGATGTAAAGTTGTGTGGATAATGATTTTCTATGTATATAATTGTATATTATAAATAAAAATGAACTAATTTTTCAATTTCTTTATTTCAAAACTGTCCGGCCTACTCCACATTTAATGTATACCTATTACAAACTTAAGTTAATTCTGGAACAAAAGAGAATACACATGAATTAAAACTATGTTTTACAATATTGATTTGATTTCAGAACCTATTAATAATTAAATACTACAATAACATTCTTAAAATATCTTATTCTGATTACATTATATTTCAATAACATTGAAATAAATTAATTTATTGCAGGTTTTAAAGCTTGTAAATGTAGAGAATAATTTTTTTATCCAGAGGAAGTAAGTCCAATGTAATCAGGTTTCATTTGCTTTTCAATAAAACACAATTCAGCTTACTTTCTTTAGGTTTATGCATCATCCCAGATTCAGTGATTTTCTATAATAAAGTGTTTTTTCTCAGGCAATTTGAAATAAGATTAATCAAATTTACAACACTTCGATTACACAAAATTGAGGAATCAAATTATTTGTTATTTTTGCACCTCAACAAATGCATGTAGTGGTGAAGGCAAGACCTATTAACTGCAGGTATGGATTATATTAGACATAGATTATTAATACATTTAAGTTAAATTTACGATATGTATTTGTTTGCAGCATTGTAAATGTGAAACATGCCTAGTTGCACATACATAGTTCATTATTTAAAAGAAATTATAGTAGCATAGATACTATCAGATTTTAGAAAAACATAGATGCAGGGGTAATAAAAGTTAAATTTTATATGATATTCTTCAAAATACAAAAATTTATTATATTTTAATTTTAAATTGTTGTAATTAATCTATTACATATTTTAACAGAATTGTTATATAAGTGGAATAATTTATTTCCTTAAACGTTTCTAGAATATTACATTTTAGTATATACTATTTACCGATTCTTTTTTGTTAAATTTAAATATTTTATTATAATCTATGATTTTTGGTTACAATATGTAATTTGATGATACATCGATATATTTACAACTATTTACACTGTTGGAAGTAAAAAAGAACACCCAGAGAATGAAATCGCAGCAGTGACAGTCTACGACCTAACACTTCTGATTGCGCTGGGGTTTGAATCATTGCGCTGAACTAGGGAACTGTGAAGGTACAAAAGCCAGAAGGCTGCAGTGCCTGGGGGCACAAACCCCCACTTCCTGATATCCATTATCAGTATCAGAGGAAAGCAAATAATCAATATTGTTCTCTCACTTCACTAATTAAACTTCACTGGCTACTCCTCAGAAAGGAGGTCATTGGGACATAGGTGAAGTGGGAACACCTGCAATAAAAGGCTTGACTGACCTACGCTTGGGTACCAGACCTGCTTGGACTGTAAATAAATAAATAAAAAAATAAAATAAAGGATAGAGAGGATTGATTTGGGCACACTGCCCTGCGATTGTCCCACGGTCAGAGAGCAGTAATCGGGGTAATCTGATCCTGGTAGTCCAGTACTAAAATATTCTTTTTTTTTTACTATGAAAGATTTCATCTTTAATATGAGAAAATTGTTATTACTAGATGATCAAGTCAAGTCATCAAGTTGGTTTGTGAAAAACTACGTGTAAATTCATAATTTAAAATATCATAATCATAATTTTTCTAAGATGATAAAACGCTCTGCCCTTTTTTCATAAGCGAAAATGGTAGCCAGTGGAAAATAATTTTGCAAACTGTTATGATCCATTTGCATTGTAATACTCGTTTGTTGTGGACTTGATGATATTGAGGAAGTTTTAATGGTCTCTCGTTTATATCATCTTTAGCCGTTCTCTTTTCAATAGAGTAATCAGAATGTGATGGATAGCTTTTTTGTTGACAGCTATCGCGGATAATTATTCATGGCATTCATTCGCTAAATCTTTCTTCTGTTTATCTTCCCCGGTTCTCCTTTTTCGGCCGAGTTTTCAGCAGCGTGGCTTAACTAAACTTGCCATTTCTCTTGTTTGTACATTTAATATTAACAACAGGGTGATGTTTAAAAAAATATCAATTAATTAAAATACATTGTTAGCTGAAATGTCAAATTCTATTGTGTAAGTCAGTAAGGTGATTAAGAATATTATTCGCCTTCGAAATTGCTATTTTCAAAATTTGGTGGAAACAAAACGTCAAAATCACAATACTTGGGTAAACGGAATGGTAAAGAACGGTTGAGCTTTGTACATTTAATTAATTTTCAGCGTTGTTCAATTGACAACACAAATAGCTCTCAACAATTATTTCTATCAAAGAATTAAATTTTATTACGTTTTTTTATATTTTTTTCAATTAATTAATCTTTCTATGTAAGGTTTTGGTTGAAACGAAAAAGTCAGTGTCACGAGCGGGTCTCGAACCCACGACCCTCGGCTCAATACGCCGCCGCTCCAACCACCCGAGCTATCGTGACAGGAGGGAAAATTCGAAAGGTTGTAGGTTGAGATGGGGAGTTGGTGTCCGAGTGAAGAGAATTAATTGAAAGAAGTAATTTGGTCAATCAGACCATTAAATATAAGGTTTTTTTATATTATTTATTTTATTCTTCGACTTTGCTCGCGCTTTTTTTGTCTTGAATCTCTTCGAATTATGGCTACCGCCAATGTCCTCGGAGGTCCGCACTATACACATTTAAATTCCGTCAACACGACGGAACTAAGTTTCAGAACAGATTAGCGGTTGCAAAACGAAAACTGCCTACTAATGAAAGGTCTTTTGTCCGTTAAACCTGCACAAAAGTGTTTTGGCAGCCTCGGTAGGATTATTTCCAAGTGTGAACTCGCACAGTGCTACAACAAAGAGAATTTCATAAATTAAACTTTTGACATTTAAGTCTGGAATCAGCACTGATTCAGACAAAGGAGTAATACCGTTTACTTTGATATTCAGAACAGCAGATAGAAAAATAATAATATAATGAAATGGTTAGGGATGATGAAATGCTAATCATAAAATAACATAAGAATTATTACTCTGTTGTATACGATTGTACATTATTTTCTACTTAATACATATTAATTATTATTTGCTTGTTCCTAAAATACATGTTCCCGCCCATTTCCATGAATTTAAAAAAGCTAAAACTTAGACAATCCGTTAAAAACAAAACAGAATTGTTCTTTTATCTACGCTAACGTTTTTTTTAAAATTTGCAATTACACTACATCCCCTCGGAATATCGAGTTCTCTGGGGAGAGTTCGTGGCGTCTGGTGGGGAGAGATCGTGGCGTCTGGTCTGGAGAGTAAAAGAAGTTATTAGCGAGAATAGAGTGGGTTCGACCCCGCCTTGAGGAATATCGAGTACTCTGGCAGTGAATGTGACCAGACTTTTACACTCTTTTATGTTTTTCCTTTATTCTTACACTTTTTGGGGAGAAGTAAGCACGGCAAACTTAATTTGTTTAAAAAAATCGATTATTTGCAGCTGAATCGTTGTTCTTTCCACGTGTGTTTTATCAAAGGCCAATTTTCAATAGTCAATTGTGTCGATTTGAAACGGTACAACACCCATCAAGTTCGACCTGAGCAGTTTTTATAACGGCCAAAAAAAATTTGTTCGTGTGTTAATGGATGAACTCATTTGGATGGTCGATCAGCTGTGTCCTTCCAGTCCACATCGCCCAATAAAAAAAAATTCAATAATGTAGTCACTGACGTGCAAGTCAACCTGGAAACAAATTCCATTTGGAGATACTTAACTGCAAACTGGATTGAAAAGCGTAAAACAATTTCTGTTCGTTCAAAATTAATAATTAGAAACAAATGGAACCGACCAATAGGAAGATTGTTCCTGATCAAAGATCACCAATAATGATTCCGATCGATTCTAGGCTCATTTCCTCAATCACCTGTAATTTTCGTTTTCTGTGCACCATTCGGTGGAATTTAAGTAGAGAAGTGCGTAACAGTTCTTAAGAGTAGCTCATCGCCATTTCCGTTTATCGTTCGACGAGGCTTTTCTCGCGGGAATCGACGATAAAACGTATAAGAAAGCATCTAACAGAATTTCCGCAGGCGACCGGATCTAAAAGGGTTCAAATTTCAAATGTCTTGAGACCTTTCGACGGAGCGCCTCTGCTTGTTAGTACAGTACGAATGTTTTCAAACGAAGCTCGGATGTGGTCATAATCGAGAGTGGAGAGGGCCCTCCACACTCCATCTCTTAAGTCGTATTTCCCCCTTCTGCACTTGGCAAACCACTTAGGGACGGCACTTTATTCTCTTATACGCACTACAAATTTTAGAAAATCCTTTCACGAAAACAATAACACCGAATGCCGGGAAGGAACGCCATTTACTTCTTCTCTCGTTTAAACAATTAACGATTTAAAGATTAAAGATATGTAGTTAAACTGATGCATAAAAGTTCCTTTACTTATTCTGTATTTACTATCAAAATATTGATGTTTCATTAAATCTAAATTTATGTAATTTAGCTACTGTTCGCCAGTAGATAGGAGGATCTTATGTAATTATATCATAACTAGGGCTGCGAAATATATGCATTTGCTTATTTTTCCTGGTTAACTGAAACAACCATTTTTAACCATCTGTATATGTTTTGAAGCAATTGGAATCAATTTAAGCTATATTTATTTTGCATATTTGTGCATATATTGCCATGAATGCATATCCGGCATATTGGTATATGGCATGTCAAATTTTAATGTTTCTGAACAGGCAAAACAAATTCTCCGAAAAATAGCTTCAGTTGCTGCTCCACTACTTTCCGCGAGCTTTCGGTCGCCTTTCCTTCTCTTGGAAAAAATGGAGAAAGGAATAGTGTTTTGTACCACTGTAAATGTAAATTACAAATAATTAAGGTTTTTAGTTGAGATTTTTTACCTCAACTAAAAACCTTAATTAATTGTAATTTACATTTACAGTGGTACAAAACACTATTCCTCAATGGGAATATATTAATATATTACAATTAATTGGTCAAGCGGACCACGAAATTAGTGAATTAAAATGACGTATACTTCACTAAAGCTCTCCGTGGCCATTTCATTTGTCGCCGAGAATCAAATAGATTACACGACATTTGAAAAATGGCAAAAAGGAGGGAAATTCAAAAGGTGTGGTTGAGATGGGAAGTCGGTGTCCGAGTGGATCGAGGTCACGATAGCTCAAGTAGTAGAGCAGGGGCGTGTCTAGCCGAAGATCGTGGGTTCGAATCCCACTCGTGCCATTGACTTGTTTATCTCAACCAAAAACCTTAATTAATTGTAATATATTAATTGGTCAAGCGGACCACGAAATTAGTGAAATTAAGTAAATGTAATTGTTCCCTTAGAATAGTTTAATGGGATTCATGGAAATATTATGACCTCAGTTCTCTTCTTTTCCTACCATCATATTTCTTAGCTTTACCCAGTGTGTAGAAATGATGAATGATGGAGTGAGTGTGGTGTTCAATCCTTTTTTAAAAAAGATAGTTCCCTCTCACAGTAAGTTGTTTTCCATCGATCCGTATTTCGAGCCCTTAGCTCATCATCAGGTTGAAGGATATCTACAACCACGCCTCTCGACATGAATTGCAAAAGTGAACCCGCCGATACCCCCGCCAACGCGACGTTCCAAACAGAAGCTGGTTTCTTAATGGCGCTCAATTTGAACGTGTGAAAAGCGGGAATTATACCACAAGTAAATATTATAATGGTAAATACTGTAAGAAATTAATTAATTTACCAAATAAATTTCACTTTTGCAATTCATGTCAAGAGACGTGGTGGTAGAAATCCTTCAACCTGATGATGAGCTAAGGGCTCGAAATACGGATCGTTGGAAAACAACCTACTGTGAGTAGGAACTATATTTTTAAAAAAAGGATTATTTCTATGTGACTGACTACTCCTAAAATGCCGAAAGTCACTGCAATGGCGAAAGATCTTGTTCAAAAGTATGTGCGTGAGTTTTCAGTGAGACTTTTAAGGGAGATGGAGACGTTTTGTGATAAACCTGTATCAATAACTACACGTTTTTCGGTAACACATCACAAGACAGCAAAACAGAAGGAAAAACAAAGGTAGGAAGTCTAAGTTTCAACAAACTTTTGTGACACAAGATGTCACAAGTGCTGGGTCTGGAAAGTCCGGTTTCGATACTGATTTATGTCGTGCTTTAGTTAGAGCTGACATACCCATCCATAAACTAAGCCACTCTGAATTCAAGTTTTTTTTTGAGAAATACACAGGGAAAACCATTTCCCACGAAAGTACCCTCAGGAATGCTCACCTGGAACTTATATACAATGAAACACTCCATAAAATCAGAGACTTAATCGAAAATGGACCGATCTGGGTCTCGATGGATGAGACGACGGATTTTTTAAATTTAACTTTTTTAAAATGCGTTTTTGTGTTTTAATAGGCGCAATGTGATGTTCCTCTTGCCACTGTTTCTCTTTTCGATACAATTATGTGCTTTAATTTGAGGTTTCCTTATTTTTCTCATGTTAGTTTTTGCATATTTTCAGTTTTAAATTGCATGTTTTACCAAATAGATTTACGTATACATATATGTGTTGTCTGTTGTTATTGCATATAAATCACAGCCCTAGTCATCATCCTTGAATAAAACGAATAATAAATATGTAAAATGTGTGGTGATTAGTGACCGTTAATCGATAATTATTCAGAAATCGTGAGATGCGGTCTGGTGTGATGTAGGTTTCAGAAAAACATTTTCTATATCGTGCCAACGTTTCAATCTTTATTGAGATCATCTTCAGGGCTGAAAGGGTTTGTCTTCTGTGTAATTGTACCATTCTTGCGTGTGGAGAGTTCTTTGAGCCCTGAAGATGATCTCAATAGAAATCGAAACGTTGGCACTATGAAGAAAATGTTTTTCTGAAACCTACATCACACCAGACCGCATCTCACGATTTCTGAATAATTAATAAATATGTAAGTTTGAAACTGTTTATTGTAAAACGCCACAATTTATTAGGAATTGTGATAGCTTATTTATTATCGATTCTTGAATCGTTACTTGATAGCTGTCACAAAAGAAACAATGTGAGAGAAATAATGAGTTTTTGACAAAAAGCTAAGTTAAATTACGTTGTTGCTGAACTTTCTCAGCCTTAAATTAACAACGCCAACGACACTGGTTGTCAATAAGCTTGTCCCTGTTGCTTCCCGACAAATGACCTTACGATGGCGGGATTGAATATGGAGGAAGAACACGAAGAAGAGTTACCGAGAAAATCGTTGCGACATCGATTTATTAAAACACACGATCAGCTTCTGAACACAAATAAATTGTTTTAAAATTTCATCAGATGAGGGTTGTGGTGTTTTTTGTTTGTTTGTGAAGTTATTTTCTCTTTAAAAAAAAAAAAAAAAAGAAGGAAAATTCATGTTCGAAAACCAATGACCTCTGCTGAAGAGGTACTATCTACAAGGAAGCCCGTTCAGCGACTGGCCGATTCTCATCAATCTTTCTAATCCGCGGAGATGCGCGGTGCTTCGTAAACAAAACGACAATGTTGGAAAAGACACAGATAAACACAGGAGCGTCTAACTAATTTTTTTTTTTGTTTGAGAAAAGAACATGGATAACATAGTTTTTTCAGTAAGTGAACTTTTATTTATTTTAAATAGATTTATGTTTTTCAAAACCAGCTGACAAACTTTTGATATCATTTGTAGTTTCCATAATTCTCGAATGGAATTGTTGAATCCAATTTGATTATCTCACGATTTTCATTGAAATTTCATTCACCTGGGAATTTTGTCCACGTTCCGCTTTAGTCCAAAACCATGAAAGTCTTGCAGTTTTAAACAAACGTTCAATTAATAAACTCTGTCTTCTGTAAATGACAGTTTTTTAAATATTTATGATAAAAATTCTATGGGAAATATCGCCAATAAAACTTTTCTTTCGTATACTTGCACGGCAATCTTTTTAAATAAATAAAAATTTTCTGAAAAGAAATTGATTTCGAATCGTATGCAGAATCGGTATATGCACCGTTTGCATGGAGTCCATTTGTACATTGTAAAATTAAAACGTCGGTTTAATCGATTTGTTTAATATTTCCCCGAATATTATATAATCTATTTTTTTGCGTTTACAGTGCTTTCGTTGTTGGGAGTGTCTGGAAGTTTGGTGCCCTTGCACCTGCATTAAATTCGGGACGACCGTTCTAGCAGTCTACACGATATTCTTAGCAGGTTTGTACAGCAAAACGTTAACGACAGTAGAATAATAATAAGTAAGTTTCTTCCGTACGAGGTGTCAGTTTCTGTTTATCCACTCAGATAATTTTCTTTGCAAAATGCTTATATTTGATGAGGCTAAAAAGAGTTTTGACACTTAGTCGACGGCTTGAAACGCACTTGAACTTTGCGGCGCATTCCTCTTTTCATGGACAGGCCGTAAATCCTGCGACGCATTATTCATGTTAATGGATAACATTACCCGGAGCCTGTTGACATTGCATCATAAACTGTAGTAAGTGCGATGTCGCTAATGTAAGGGCGCTGACACACGGAGCGGTTTTGACCGAAGCGTTTACCGCTTCGGTTTTGCTANAACGCTTCGGTCAAAACCGCTCCGTGTGTCATCGCCCTAACCCCTACCAAGCCTGTTGCGTTTTCCAATTGATCCATGTCAAATAGTCTATGGTTTCCTTCGCTCTAAATTCAGTTAACGGTAAATATTTTATAGTGAAATTTGATTGAGACCAATTCTCTCTAAAATCTAATAAAATGTGCAAGGGGTAGCATTTGTTTCAATCGCATAAATTGCGACATTGTTCTACCGACAAGTACAAGTAAACCAAATAAAAATTCTTGCTGCACTACTGCAATGAGAGCTAAGTAAGGATGTGCTTGTTGCCTGCAAAAAATAAACAAGCCCATTAAGCCTTTACGATTTTTTTTTTAAATAAACCCATCAAATGTCGACACGCGTCTCACAGACAAAAAAAAAGCAGTCTAGGTAAGCTATGACGATGACGAGCAAATTACAAGTTCATCATCCCATAGACCTCAAGAAGAACGTTCACAATCTTTAATTTTAGTCAACAGCTTATCGAATCCTATGAAACGGATTATTGACTAAAAAACAGGAATAGCTGGAACATAAAATAGCATAAAACATACTAAAACGTACAGAAAATGGCAAAACTCAAATGATATACACGGCGAAGGTCTAAAATATTGCCACTGACCAACGTGAGCTACAAATGCGAATACAAAAAAAAGTGAAAAAATGAACCACATTCACAAAGAGAAAGATACAATAAAAATCATAGGCCTTAAAAACGGCGCCAAGAGCGAAAAAACCATTGAAATAATTGGAAATCGGAAAAGGCTAAACGTCGACAAGATAAGAAGAAAAATAAAAGACAGATCTTGAAGAACTTATAGGTCATTTAAGTAAAACATTGAAAAATCAATCTATGCAACTTACGTCGCATAAAAATCACAATACAAAATGAAATAATTGAAAACCTAGTGCTTTGTGTGATTCGTACCAACAGTATACATAAAACAAGAAAAAAACTCACGAATACACGAATCAACCACTACACCATTTAAAACACTGTACATAGTGTACATATTAAAAAGGAGTAAAGTAACCAAAAAAAGTATCAACAACAAACAGGCTGGAATAAATAAAAACTTCCGACTCTTCCATTAAATTACAGCGTTAAAAACATTAAAAAACCAATTAATTAAGGTTTTTAGTTGAGATAAAAAAGTCAATGGCACGAGCGGGATTCGAACCCACGAACTTCAGCTAGATACGCCGCTGCTCTACCACTTGAGCTATCAAAACCTCGATCCACTCGGACACCAACTTCCTATCTCAACTCCACCTTTTGAGTTTTCCCTCCTTTTTGGTATTTTTCAAATGTCGTGTAATCGGATTGGATTCTCGGCGACAAATGAAATGGCCACGGAGAGCTTTAGTGAAGTATACTTCATTTTCAATCATTAAATTCACTAATTTCGTGGTCCGATTACACTACATTTTGAAAAATGGCAAAAATAAGGGAAAATTCAAAAGGTGCGGTTGAGATGGGAAGTTGATGTCCGAATGGACCGAGATCACGATAGCTCAAGTGGTAGAGCAGCGGTGTATCTAGCCGAAGATCGTGGGTTCGAATCCCGCTCGTGCCATTGACCTTTTTATCTCAACTAAAAACCTTAATTAATTGAAATATATTACTTGGTCAAGCGGACCACGAAATTAGGGAATTAAAAAAACAGCAAGGATAGACATATCAAAATGATAGGAAACGACCAAGATAAAATAGTTTGTTCACTTTTTCCTTATTTGTCAAATTTTATTGTCAAAAACCTTTTCACAACTGAAACCATACGGAATGGTGAACCATAGCGTGGTGTCTGAGGACACTTTGTATTTATCTATTTAATTTATTTATCAGCCCCACTACAAAGATGACGGTTCTGAGCTTTCGACAGTATATCTCGTGGAAATCGAATCGTTGACCGGAACAACAAATGGCAAATTCAATCAAATCCTTGTAGGTCACGACCGCCAATTGGAAACGCTTAGGCAGGGGCCGATGAGGTCACCGCACCCAAGCAGGTGGAAATTCCAACCACCTGCAAAATATCGATATCTCGGTCCTAATTTCGGCAAACACGTTAAACGAAAACGCACGTCGAATCTTGCTCTGGTAATAATGTTTAGAAAATTATCTATCATGATCTGAACATCCCTGAAGTTCACTTTGGTTACCTGCCCAACAAAATAATTGTGGTGGCTTATTTCCCCAAATCTTTAAAGAGAAACTGTCAATTCCTCTCATTTCTCCTAGAATCGTTCTTCTTAATCTCAATCAATATCTCGGCGATGACAAATCGATTTCACAGCTAACTGAAGTGGGATGCCCGTAAACCTTAATTTTTTTGTAGAAAGAGCCGGTAGGTAAATAAACTCGGCTGAGTCTTAGGATGGGACAACGACGTTTAACCATTGATATTCCATGTTTTAATTTTTATATATTTATTATTAAAGCAATGTAAAACTTTTATCTATAAGAAAAAACAAGAAATAAAAAAAAATAGGTGTGTGAGTGTGAAATATATATTTGTGGATTTTAAAAGAATGCAAATACCCTAAAAAAAAACTTGCGCTGTGCTTTTGGAAACCCAAGTTCATATTGAAAAAAGGCCATCTCTCTTGCAAAAATTTATTTTCCTGTGCACCAGAACGGGTTAAAATTGTCCAAAGCAACGTGTTTGTTTCTCAAAAGACCCTCTGCTAATAGAAAAAAAAGATTGGCAACAATTTTACAAAATTTAAATTTTATAATACGTTTTCTTTTTTCCTGTAAAATTTGAAAAGTTGTAGATGGCCCCTTTTTAAAATGTCCGATTCATGTCGGGAGCGCACAAAGAAAACGTCGAAGTAAATTTCAATTAATTAAGGTTTTTAGTTGAGATAAAAAAAGTCAGTGTCACGATCTTCGGCTAAATACGCCTCTGCTCTACCACTTGAGCTATTGACTTCGATCCACTCGGACACTAACTTCCCATCTCAACCCCACCTTTTGAATTTTCCCTCCTTTTTGCCATTTTTTTATCTCAAATAAAAACCTTAATTAATTGAAAGATATTAACTGGTCAGGCGGACCACGAAAACGAGTGAATTTAATAAGTTGAAGTAAATGTGGTCACCGGGCAGCGTGGGTGTTTGCAACTTATAAATAACTTCATATATCTCAAGGAGTACACAATGGAATCAGGAAAGACCAAATGGGGGTGAGTTGTAATTTAGTGATGCAATTCATATTTGATTTAGGTATTCTCAACAAGCACTCACAAAACAAGATATCATTAGGTCACAGTTATCAGTATACGAGAATCACGAAATCGGCAGTATTCAACTCGTTAACAGGCTCAGCGCTGTGTAGAGTGAAGTTCACCTTTTAAAACTAATTATTTGTTCAAAATTGACTGATGTGTTTTTGACGACACTACACTGACAATGTACTTCTAATTCATGATTTGTTTAACTGATGGATGTGCTTTTGATGGCATTACACCTACATTAAGTACTTACGTCTCCAACTTCTTCCTTCTGCCACCGGCTCATTTTACATCCCTTGGTGCAGGCAGTAGAAATGTAACCGGCTCATTTTACCTCTCCTGTACATGCAGTAAAACCATAACCATCTTATTTTGCATACCTTCTTTAGTTAATCCCACGGGGTCGGTTCAATTTGCCCCCCCCCAATCTGTTGGGTTGGTCTGTTTGTCAACCTAGCTATTAAGTCCTATGTATTGTTTACCTATAAATCAGTTATTTTTATTTGTTGTTATTTCAATCTCAGAACTTTAATGTACCATAAAGGGCAAAATTAAATAATTCTAGTGGACAGTTACAGATTTAAATCTTTCAATCCTCAATAAACTGTTTAACGAGTTCACATAGTACTCAGGATACCTTCGAAGGCGATTAAATTTTTACTGTTTTCCCTTCGTGTATCCGGAATATAGATTAAACGTACAGTGGACCATTAAAATGGAGGAAATATTTGTTCAGAGAAGTTTCAATGATTTAGCGAAATCGGACCGAAATTAGAGACTGTTTATTGCGCTTAACCTACCTCGCTTGCTGATTTCTTTTTTTTCTTTTTTAAACGAGGGTATTCCAATACTACGACGTTATATGACACCTCGGGGTGCCGGTGTTTTTGAAAAAAAAGCCCAATTGAAAATATATCGGTTTTGAATGCATGGCCTCTAGATTCGAACCCGGGACCTTTACCTTACAGTGTCAACGCCTAAACCGTTGCGGCCACCGACGCCCCATGCTGATTTCATTGTGGTGAAGCTCAGTGGAGGAAGTCGATCCAAGATTGAATTTTATGTGCATCAATTGGCTTGGCCAATTACACCCCTCAATTTACTTCCATGCATATTTCTTTGTCGTTACCAATCATAGACGCAATTTTCAAGTCTCGCAAGAGGTTTTTTTAAATTTATTTATATTTAAAAAAGGTATTAATGTAAAAGTTCTCAGCCTGATTTTTGCCGAAAAGTAGAATAATACTGGCAAAATTAAATTTACATAATAGCGCGCTTAAACGAATCTTCACAATAGCCATGGTCATTAAATGCCCAACAAAAGATTCACCCATTTTTATTTAATGTGTAGGTAATAGCCAATATCATAATATAACGAGATATTAAAACTGAGGGTGCAAAATAACAGACACAACCTTATATTTTTCTCTTGGTTTCCAGTAAAGTGGACAGTTCAATATACCCTCTGCCGTTTAGAATGGAGATTTGACCCCCATTTGAAAACTTAGTTAAGTTTAGTTTCTTGTTTTAGAAATGACAAACGGGTTTTGTTATCGTAAGTAGGGAACTTTTCATTCCTAATAAGGTTTTTAGTTTTTTTTCCTTCTGTGCACGATAATCGCGGGGAATTTCATTTTTAAATATATCACTTAAAATTAAAATCAGTTTGTTCAAAAATACTGCAATCGTCTGTACTAACCTGAAAGTGTTTAGGGGCGTCGGTGGCCGCAACGGTTTAGGCGTTGACACGGCGCTCATCACTGTAAGGTAAAGGTCCTGGGTTCGAATCCAGCGGCCCTGCATTCGAACCCGACATACTTACAAATGAGCTTTTTTTTCGAAAACACCGGCACCCCGAGGGTTGATATAACCTCTGCTGTTGCGAACCCTCGTTAAAAAAAAAAAAAAAAAATAACCTAAAAGTGAACCTAAACTCTTTATTGGATAACAAGAAAAAGTTGAAATTATTAAAAATGCTGAGTAATTGCAATACTGTAAATTAAAGATGCGGAAATTGCTAGTTGATCTAATGCAAAATTTGCAGTTGGGTTGTTTCTGATCATAATGGTCCGCCTATTCTCGCTCCTTTGGTATACATTTCGCCATCTAGAGTGATGGGTGAGCTTGACAATCAGCTGGGTTCGGTCTGCTCGATACCAGAATTTTTCCAAACGCTTACCAAGCTTCAAACAAATTTATTGTCTCACAATTTATATAAATATAAATTTCGATGTTGCCAACTTAATTGCCAACCTCCGGTTCGTCGTTCGGACTGGAATGGCTTAACTTTTTAGTGCAATGGAAAATGGCCAGTTAACAGAAGTTCTGACTGCAAAAAAAGTGAAAAGAAAAAAGACGACATCTTTATTTTACCACTAGCGTCCAGAAAATCCCGGTGGTCGAGCGAGGCTTTTATCTATAAATGACCCTCGCCTCGTTACCCTAAGTGGCTCCCCCGATAAATTATTTCACTCGACCCGATCCGAGGGTCACTCATGAACGAGTATTGGCCGGGTAATAAAATTCATTATTGCTTCCAGGGACAAAGTAATCTTACGGGATTTAATTGAGCTCACAGTTTTCTTGTGGTGAAACTGAATATTTTTACCTTTATTAACGCGTTAATGCCTTCCCTCTGCGTTCATCCACTATGACGAAGAAAAGGGACTAACTTTTCTCATATATAATAAATCAAAGGGAATAAATTCAGCTGTGTTGGCACTTCAAGAAGCTATATTGATTTTTTAATTATCATTTTTAACATAAACCGAAAACCCTACTGAGTTTTCGTTTAGTAGACAGAAAACTGCCAGGAAAGTTGTAATCGTATTTTAAGCTACAAGAAAAAAATTAGTGAAATATTTAAATACAGTAGTATAGTGTTGAATATTTTTGGAGGGGGAATGGGTCAAATATTATAGGCGGCAGTGAGAATCGAACCCAGGATCTCGGTGCCTGTTAATCGAGAGTCTGACACTAACCACTCGGATACCGCGGAAATCATGATCATTATCGTATGAATGTTTAAAATGTATTAATTATTTACGATATCTCCTCTTTGAATACAAAGTGCTTTTCTATTTTCATCCAACTTCTAGGTTTATAAAAATCTTTATGTAAGATATTGGTCGAAATGAAAAAGGTAGTGTCACAAGCGGGATTCGAACCCACGACCTTCGGCTAAATACGCCGCTGCTATACCACTTGAACTATCGTGACTTCGATCCACTCGGACACCACCTCCACATCTAAACCTACCTTTCGAATTTTCCCTCATTTTTGCCATTTTTCAAATGTGTAGTCAGGATCCGATTCTCGGCGACAAACGAAATGGCCACGGAGAGCTTTAGTGAAAATATATTTCGTTTTACTATTAAATCCATTATATTTCGTGGTCCGATTGACCAAATAACTTCTTCCAATTAATTAATCTTTATATAAGGTGTTGGTCAAAATGAAAAATTCGAAAGATAGGTTGAGATGGGAAGTTGGTGTCCGAATGGATCGAAATCACGATAGCTCAAGTGGTAGAGCAGCGGCGTATTTAGCCGAAGGTCGTGGGTTCGAATCCCGCTCTTGACACTAACTTTTTCATTTCGACCAATACCTTACATAAAGATTAATTAATTAATTGAAAGAAGTTATTTGATCAACCGGACCAGGAAATATAATGGGGTTCCTAGAAATGTTAACAACTCAATAAACAAAATACGTTAAATGTTTTAATTAAATTGCGATTTTTTTTCAGTTCTCCTCCTGTACCTGTACGTTCCAGAATTCGCCGAGTTTCCTAAATCGTTCTTGCACTTTTTCTCCCTACGTCGGAACAATCCGTTCCTCGGCGAAGCAAGCATTCAAATTATGCGTGAAAACGATGTAAACGTTATGGAATACAAGTCGCCTTCATCGTCGTTGACGTCACCGTCATCGTCTTCCAAACCACTACTCATTAACTCGAAAATAAGGAATTTGAGGAAAGTATTCCGATATCCTCAGACTATAACGCTGACAACTCTCTCATAGGACAATAAATAACAATAACTTCATGTCTTCACTTAACGCATCAATAAACATATTTTTTAAATAATAATAGACTATTCGATCCAATAAAACAATTTTTTGTATTTCAGTTAGATATTGTATGTTGTTTGTAGCCAATTCACGTTCAAGGTACGATAACACACTAAAATTATCGATAATTATCGAACCAGTTGGAAACGTGAATGGTAGCAAAAAACGATATGGATGGACAAAGTTATTTATTGTAATATCCATCTCTAATTATCCCTAAATATGTCAATTTAAAACCTTTCCCTTTATGTTGAAGAGGATCAAGTTGATGGTCTTGAATGAAGTTACAAGTTTATGCCAACAATTCGCCTGATAATTGACGAATTGTTGGAATAAATTTGTAAATTCATTCAAGACCTAAACCTGATCCTCTTCAACATTGAAAAAAAAACAACAGGTTGATCCTCTCCTTAACTTTCCCTTAATCTTCAACGACACAGTTAAACTTCCTCTTTCCGTGTTCTTCTACCCCAGTTTCAATCCCACAATCCTAAGGTTGGTTTTCCAGTATGTTGACATTCTATGAAGGCCCGACTGACGTACATATTTGTTGCAAGGTTTTGACACTGTGATCCTATTGAAATAGTTAATAATTATTAAATTAATTCGTCTTGTATTTAAACGTTTATTTTGACAGTACTCACATTTATAAGCGTATTTTTTTTTGACAGGGGCAACCGACAGATTGGTCATTTCAGCCCCGAAGCACTAGCGAAATACCGCTACACACTCGATACACAATCACTCTAATGAATACATTCATACCTGATCATTCATTGATCGCACTCATACTGTTTGGTAGGTGGAGTACTCTATATTCTTCCATTAACCTGTTCACTACAATAAACTAATCTAATATGGGGGTCGATGGGGTACTTGTTACAAGCGAACATGAGAGAAAAAAAAATTTGTTTGCACTGGGGTGACCAGACACGGGCAGAGGCGAGGGTGCCCTCGGCAAGGTTGAGTGAGGTCTGGTAGAGGCCGAAGACGCGCGTGTGGCATTTAGGAGAAGAAACGGGAAGTCACGACTGCACCCTGGAGGTAGGTTGGACGGCTCACCAAGGGAGATTACAACAGGTGCCGACACTCTTCCGAGATCGACTTGATCGGGCGTACGAGAGATCTAGAAGGGTCTATAATATGAGGAGACGTCAGATTGAGTACGTCGAGGGACAGGAGGTATGGTGTCACAATTATGTCCAATCAGATGCCGCCAGATATATCTCCAGTAAGTTGACTCCCCGCTTCTCTAAAGCTAAGATTAAGAGAAAACTGTCTCCCTTGTTCTATGAGTTGGGGAACGAAGAAGGCCGGAGCCTAGGCCAATGGCATGTAAAGGACCTAAAGCCCCACCCCGGAAGTCAAGACTCCATGGATTAAAGAAAAAAAATGGTTAACCTTTTTTTTGGGAGAAAGGAGTGGAAATGTTACAAGCGAAAATGGGAGAAAAAAATTTTTTGCACTGGGGTGATCAGACTCGGGCAGAGGCGAGGATGCCCTCGGCAAGGTTGAGCGAAGTCTGGTAGAGGCCGAAGACGCGCGGGTGGCATTTGGAAGCTGAAGGAAGCTCAGCCAGGGCTCAGCGGGGACGCTGGCGAGGAGTGGGGCCCGACGGGAGTGAACAAGGAGGCCTCGAGCTGAGACTGGTCGGTGTGGACGAGCGAGGCGAAAAAGTAAAAAAAAAAGGAACGTGACAGAGTATTATTTTATTATTTTGGGACTTTTCTCATCGCGCTCTGGAACGACGAGAAAAAGGACTTACACGAGGTTCGAGCTTTTAGCAATAAGATTGGTTTCTAGACAGTTTTGTTTTAATTCTGAAGAGACTTGTTTTATTTTTTGTTTGCTTTACATCTTATTCTTAATACCGAGGACATTAATATTTTACTTTCTTGTTGTGTTTTTTTAAAAATATTTTATTTGTTATCTTGTTATTTCACCCCGAGGGTTTCACTGTTTTCCTAAAGGAAGAAAATAAAATAAAAACAGTGTGGTGCTCGATTATTTCCCTTTTGGAGACGAAGCGGCCACGGGAAAAAAATCTCCACTGAGCCCCAGGTACCCGGCGACCGGGTGAATTGCCAACGGTCCGACGAGGAACCGTAAGATACTTTAAAAGGTTTCCGCCGTAGACCCAAGTCACGTACGCAACATGAGGGGCGATGGAGGTGCTAGGTCACCACCAGCCTCTTCCCATTCACACCAATAAATACATTCACACCAACATGCATTGATTACACCCATTCTGTTTGGTAGATGGAGTACTCTATATTCTTCTATCTACCTGTTCACTACAATAAGCCAATCTAATATGGGGTCGATGGGGTACTTTTAAAGGTTTCCGCCTTAGACCCAAGTCAAGCACGCAACATGAGGGGCGATGGAGGTGCTAGGTGTCACCATCAGCCCCTCCCCATTCACAGAGGCGATGGAGAGGCTACTTCGCCATCAGCCCCTCCCCATTGACACCAATAAATACATTCACTCATAAAAGATACAGAAACACAAAACACATATTTTGAGGGCTATATACAATAAAAAATTGCCAATTCCCCTAAAAAGCGGAACAGGGGACTCTGAAACTCGCTACCGGGCACGAGAACTTTTCTTAAATCCGGCGGCATGCCTACACGCTCTCTGTATGGAGCCAAGGCATGACATGCCTCTATTATGTGGGACACATCGAGCAACCTTTCTCTGCATAAGGAGCACCTGCGCAGGCTTTGGCGCCCGTGTGTCAATCGCGTATGTCCAATCCTCAGTCGGGTGAAGACGATCCCTCGTCTCCTGCTCAGGTTCTCAGAGGGACATTTACCGGACTTGCTCTTGATAAGCGTATTGTTTCCCGTAGAATATGTTCTCCTGTCTAATACATGATTTAATGAGAATCATTTTACACAGTAATATAAATAGGGGTTTTTTTTACAGATTAACTAAAAAAGTTCTTACTTTTATAATTATTTTAAAAACAAAAATTAAGTTAAAATTCCATTATATTTAGTAGGCCACTGACCAAACTACTTCAATTAATTAATCTTTTTATGTAAGGTTTTGGTTGAAATGAAAAAGCTAGTGCCACGAGCGGGATTCGAACCCACGACCTTCAGCTAGGTACACCGCGGTAGCCGAGTGGTTAGCATGATAGACTCTCACGCCGCGGTCGTGGGTTCGATTCCCACCGTCGCCTCTGGCCCTTTTTTCCCGATAACCCCCAATTTGAACAACATATATAAGAGATTCTCATGGCTAATATGCAAAGATCATAAGGCCAATTAAAAAAAAAAATTAAGTTTCTGTGTGAATAAGGAAGCAGAGTCTTTGTCAATTTTGACCATTAAATGAAAGCGATTTCTTTCTGAAATAATTAAAACAAACAAAGTTCACAATTTGCTGTGGATGAGTTTGATAAATGCAATAATGGAATATTTTAATACGTTTTAAAATTTATTTACAAGTTAGCGGCGGTTGTTAGTCTACGAGTCGGTGAACAGATGTTGATCTAATCTACACAGATTACTCAACTGGGTCCGTCTATTCTCGCTGGTTTATATAATATAAAACTGTGTCGCAGCATCAAAAGCGCCCTAAACAAAATTGTCCAAAGTTAAATTTAAAAAAAATTGTTTGATCGTCCCTGAGGTTGGGCAGGTTGGGATAGTCGATCACCTCGCTAATCTCAACACAACGAGTTTTATTTCTTTTCCATTCTAAAAGAGTTTTAGATGTTGTAAGGAAGGCTTACCTGTAAATCCTAAGGGATTCGTGTCGAAGGATTCGTTCATCGGTAACTATGTATTTTCTTTATTCTTTATGTCTTGATTCTCCCTTCTATTTATTTAGCCGTTTAAAGCTACTGAATAGTTTGCAATTTGACACTATTGAGATTGTTAAAGTAGAATTAAAATTAACTCTCAATACGAACTTTCACGTTAAATGATTGAATTCAGCATTTCCAGCATAAATTCGAGACAGATTCCTATTGTAATTATAAAAATTGAGCCAATCTTTATATAAACGAGCTTTTAGAATGTTCTTATATTCTTACCGTTTTACTTGTGCCAGCGAGAAAGCTTTCATTTCACGGATTATATTACAAATTCTAACAAGTTAAAATCTGGTCAGGCTTTAGCTGAAAGGAAAACGTAACTTGCTTTTTTCATTTAACTATCTCCAGCCCTCTAATAGGAACAGTAACTTGTAATAAAATCTTTTCGGCATAATTAATGAAAGGGAAATTGATGCCGAGGAATTGGTTTGTCTCTTTTGATTTCAGATTCCTTTTGAAGATTTTTCTCCTGCCTCTGCATTCTTTTCGGAAAAGTTGAAACCGCAAACGACTTTATCATTTCCTAAGGGCGCACCTCCCTCCTCTCGCAGATCGACTTGATCATCAAAATTATTTACTCGCACTTTTTTCGTCCCACTCTACTTCCCGGCATTCGATAATCTGGACTTCCTCGTTTATTTAATCAGATTATCCAACAGATGAGATGTTTTCCTTTCAATAAACGTCGGCCAGGGAGAACAGCGACAACCACGTCCGACTATGGCTCACAGGGGTATGAATTTTCGAACGTGGGCAAGGAGTATCCGAGAATTCCCATACTCTTGTCATCATCAGGTGGTTCACACTATCAACGTTTGGTGTGTACTTCTCGGAAATAAATTAATTATGCTTTATTTCTTCGAAAATGATTTAAATGGTGCTCAGTTCCTCAATAATTTTAGGGGTGTTTTACTAACACCGTATAATGTCGTATTTGAAAGTTTGAAGATGAACAGGGCCTGAGGTACCCAGCATAATTTTTCTCCAAAAAAGATAAAGATTTGAAACTAGACTAAAAATATTAGAGACGTATTTTTTTGATAGCGTCATTGGTTCAAGAGAAATTTAGCCGGGCCATCTAAAAAGGACACCCTGCATACTATTTAAATACCTACAACTATGTTTCACGAAGTATATCCTCAACTGTCATTATATAGATGTCCACTTCTTGTCAAATGCCAATAAAAAAG